TGCTGTGTGAGTTGGTTGGTGGACTGGTTGTTAAACCTCTGACAGTTTTTGAGTGACCAGAAGATCTGGCCGTTACTCGACATTCAGAAGAATGAATGAATGAAGGAATTTCTACCCCACCAGGACATCACACAAGCGATAAACACCCGATGACACAAAGTGCTACCATGTGGATGAGGATCACCGTGGAGAGGTCCCAGAAACCGCGTTTAGACAATTGGCCATATTTATTGCCTGCCTATATTGCGGCCCCTGGCAAAAGCCAGAGTGGGGCTTCAAATAACAAAAAATTACGTCCTAAAAAGGACGTAAGGATAAGAAAGCATTCAGAAAGAAACCCGGCTTAGAATCAAGCAGCTACTTGACCAATCAAACTGGGACGCTGTACTGGCTGCCGCAAATGGGGCCAGAGGCCGGAGCCTTTGTAGGAATGCATGCCCCGGGTGATGTGATGTCGATTTTTAATTTGACTGCAAGATTTTAAGTTTCAATTTGAAGTCCGACATATTGACCTGCAGGTCATTTGAATTTTAGAAAGTGTTTACTACCAGTGAGATTAGTTTAGATGTCTTTCTTCCCACCAAGTACCAAACAGCCTTTCCAGGGATTTTGTTGCACACCACCACTTTCCTCCTCTCCCTCCTTCTTCTTTTTCTTCTTCTTCTTTTTCGTGTCCCCATTCTTTTCCTCCACCGCCCCTCCTTATTTAAATACATAGGAGTAACCTTCGAGTGATTTGAGGGTACAATTAACCAATCGTCCCACAAATATAAAGGACATAATGAAAAATTAATCCAAACAGTTTCATTCATCGCATTAACGAAAGCTGAACATTAAATTTCAACTGTTTTTTTTTTTTTAAATAACTATTCAAACCACTTTAAAACGATTGTGGGGGGGGGGGGGAGAGGAAAGGGGGGAGAGGGGGTGACAAAAATAACCGGTAGGTTCTTCAGGGTTAAAGGGTTGGTGTGCCGCGAAAAAAAAATATTGCTTAACGAGGGTGTCGTGGCGGGAAAAAAAATTTGAGAAACGCTGCGTTAGCCTTTTATAAAATAAATAATATAATTTCGGTCTGTTATGTCCTGTGCGGAGACTCAATACTGTTACTTCTTGAGACTCCGTACAGAACATTTGTTGAGATGCTGAAATTAAGTCTCCGTACAGGACCAAGATTCACCGAAAATGTTTCACCCTTGGTGTGGTGGGGGAGCTTCAGCTTTTCGGTGACCCTGAGAGCAATGCCGGGGGTAGCGTAGCTACCAGGAGGGCCTCCCAGGCCGGACAGGTCAATAAGTTAAGGGTTAAAATGTGAAGCCGATTACCGCACCGTTAAAAACACGAAACAGTTTATGCAATCCCATTGATTTAACGGATGTGACCCTGTGGCGTTGAAGAGGTAATGTACATACAATCCTACACACCGTTAAGGTTATCAACTGGAAAGAGAGTCATCGGAGAGATAATTAGAGGCGAGTGATATCTGCAAAAATGAACATCAAGGGCTCGCATTTCTAAAAAAAAGGAGAACAAGAAGACCGTAAAATTGCTGAATTTACGTATCAATACGTACAGGATCTACTAAGGTTCAACTATTGAATTTATGCAACTCTTGGCTGGGTTCTCACCAGTGTTGCCACTTTGAATTTTTTACATCCATATTTAGATGTTTTTCCTTGCATTTAGATGGTATTTTTACCGTTTAGATGGTAGATGTTTTTCTAGATGATTTTCTTTTAGAGTTAGATATTTTATAAATTTTTTTCTTTCAGTGTCAGTTTAATAATTACTGTGTAAAATATTTACTACAATATTTTTCTTTCGGTCAGGCACGTACATTGTGACAATTGCGACTACTTAAACTTTGAACCTTCACTAGGGTCAACGCTCACTGTCTTTAATTTTCATGTTATTTAAAAAAAATAATTGCTGACCTTCATATGTGGCTTTCACTTTGAAAAAACCTTCCAACATGCTAAAAGTAAAGTATGAGTAAAAATTTCGGAAAGAGTGGCTGCATGATGACAAAATAAAGACTGGGTAATGGCAGTTCCTCGGGATATATGACCAAGGCTCGTTGTAAGTACTGCAAGTGTGAAATTAAAGCGAAAATACATGACTTTAAGAGTCATGCAAAGACTAAAAAGCATAAAACTGCAGTTCCATTCAGAGATATTACACAGCTGACAGCTGTTTTCCGAACTACACTGATCAATGATTCATCAAAAGTTGAAGTTCGGTCGCAATGTTTTTTTAAGACCTGATTGTGTATTAAAAGAAACTGGAACAGCTAAAGCATACTAGAGTCATTTTGGATCTGAAGCTTCAACTCATCATCCAAGCTACGTTTATACTGTGGTTCTTGTGAAGCAGACATTAGTGAAGATGAGGGCATGATTCTAAATTATAAGTCGTATCAATAGCAATGTAATTTGTGACGCTTTCCATTTAGATGTTTTTTATAGATGTTTTCCACTTAAATTTAGATGTTTTCGGAATTTGTTGACTCTGTTCTGGATGTTTTTTGTCAAAGAAAAGTGGCAACACTGGTTCTCACTAAGAGTATTCTCCCCTGCTTTAGGTTTACTACAAACTTGTAAAGTTTGACGACTTAGCTTTCATAATAATAATAATTTTTATTAACGATTGTTTCAAACGAACATAATGTAATTACAATTCACATTTATCTTGATGCTACTGATACTTTCTTTTGATTGCTAGGATTTTAATATTTGATTTTGGTTTTTTTCATTCTAACAATTACACATTTAAATTGAATAGGTGTCGTCTGCTCTTTTATCTAAAATGGAGCATATGGCCATATGCCCTCAAACAGCGAATGCTAAGTCGTCCTATGATTTGCTATTAAGAATTAATCAAGTAACAGAAAGTATTGTGAACGGCACTCATAGAAAGAAGTAGAAAGATAGAAGAACACTTTAGACAACATAAAAATCGAAAGCTATAGTTACCGTGCCGGGAATCGAACCTGTCACCTCCAGTTTATTTATAATGATTTGCAATCGCATGCATCTCACCCAATGCTCTGCCCATCTTTTTCACGCCTCACTGTATCTCCCTTATCCAGTGTAAAGAGTAGTAAAGACATTCTTTTTATATTTATTTTACTTATTATTTTTCTCAACGTGTGTCCTTCCACTGGCAGTTTCATGTCTTCACCTCTTGATTCATTGGGATTTGTTTATTCTTTCCCAAAGAATGCCTAGTGCTGTGAAAGTTCTTCTTGCCTTTTGTGTTTGTATTCTAATGTATCTGTCAGTTCCGTCCCATCTTTACCTACATTACTGCCTAAATAGGTGTATGACTCTACATCTTACAGTGGGATATCACCAAGAAAAAATGTTTACCATTTGGTTAGAGTAGGTACCAGGTATTATCCTTAGAAGCAAATGCAGTCTGCATGATGTTAACCACATCACCCACTGAGTGCCGGTTGGTCTATACAATATAAATCTAGCCCTATTTGCCCAGTACGCCTAAAGGCTTGGATGTGGGTCCTCTACCTACTTACAACTTGGGACAAAACCCTGTTCATCCCTTAGCCGTTCATCCCTTAGCTGTTTATCCCTTAGCTGTTTATCCCTTAGCTGTTTATCAGTGGCAAATCTCAATCTTTCCAAAATAATCCTACTTAATATTTTTTGTCCAGAATCTGACATTAACAAATTCCTCTGTAGTACACTTCTGAACCTTTTTAAGCAGTTTCGCCAGATATACTTCTCTCCAATCTGCTGGTATTTCTTCAGTCTGCAAGACTTTACTTGATGTTACAATCATTAATTACTTTAAATCATGCCAGGATTGGCTTCTAATAGCTCTTTGTAACTCTCTTTCTCCCCTCAGTTGAAAAAGATAGATAAAATATAATGTTTTTTTTCTGAGAAAGATGAGGACAGGTATGCTTCGTGCAGAATGGCACACTTTCACTTCAGAGGTCATGGATGAGGAGCATTGTTTGGATCTTTTGTCCAGGGTATGCCAGTGTTTTGGGAAATGAAGAGACAGACTGGCTGGCTCTGCACAACTTGATGGCAGACGTTGTTAAGACTTTTTTGGAGGATGTGTACAGTTTGGAGGAGCAAATGGATCTCCACAGTCTGGTAAGTGTGATGCAGCGAGACGTGACAGGAGGATCTGGCCGATACTCGATTCTTAGAGGAAAGGCAAGACAGACATATAATCAGCCTGCTACTGGCACTATTTGATATTGGAATTCTATGCTGGCTGCTGAAGATGGAGACAGAGCGATTATGGAAATCCTTTGAGTGCTGTGATATCGGTTCTTGAATCAACTTAGCTCTACTCATAGAATATTTTTACATTATAAATATCTTATTGAAGAATAAAACGTCTTATAAATATATGTATATTCATGTGCAGTCGGCTCTGTGGCTAAGTCACAGCGAAAGCTTCATAATGCCAGGATGCCGGGTTCGATCCCAGCTGCGGGCCATGCGCCTTGCATTGGTTTCGACAGTGATATCAAGAAAGTGAACCGTCCAGAAAGCAATGACAAACTACTGGACGTAAATTTGCCTAGAAAAACCACACATCTCTCTCTCTCTCTCTCTCTCTCTCTCTGTCTGTCTGTCTGTCTGTCTCTCTCTCTCTCTCTCTCTCTCTCTCTCTCTCTCTCTCTCTCTCTCTCTCTCTCTCTCTCTCTCTCTCTCTCTCTCTCGGCATATATACATCTATATATATGTGTGTGTGCACACGTGCTAAGGTTCGTGCATGTGTTTTTGGTGGTGGTGGTGGTGGGGGGGGGGGGGGGGGGGGGGAGATGGGAGAGAGGAACGAATGCCTGCCAGTATTTGTACATGAATATAATTATAAGATGTTATATATGTGCACACATATAAATGTATACATATACACACAGACATATATATATGTACACACACACATATATATATATATATTCACACACATATGCATATATATGTATATATATCAATTACAGCTTCAGAAAACTGAACGCCATGAGTATTAGGTTGGACAGCAGTGGTAATGCTGTGACGGAACCATTTACAAAAATTAAAGATGTCCTAGACTGGACTCCAAACACTTTTTTGTGGAAATCTGCAGCTTTAAATGAAGCACCCCAGCGATATGTGGGCTCGGATTTACTAGAACAGACCAGGAAGAAGTCCTCAAGGCCACAAGTTTTGGTTTGTCATGACATGTGTGGTGGCTATTTGGAAGACAGGTAGGGTAATTATTTGCATCTGAGAGCATTATCTTCTTTCCTTGTATAGACATTTCTGTTAGTTGCCTGTGTTGATGGAAAACTTGTTTGCACATAGACAGCTCCAAAGGCATGCCTGGTAAGGTAAAGCAATTTATTGCTAGAGCTAAAATCCATATACAAAAGGGTAATGAATGACCATGGCATCTTTGAAGACATTTCTCCCTACAGATAAAATTGACGAGGATAATCAACTGTTTTACCAAGGGAATAATAAATACACTATTTCTTCTTCTTCTTCTTCGCGTTCACCAGCTGTAAACTCTAGCGGAAAGTTCTGATTGTTCGTCCACTTTCTGAACTGCAGTCCTGCTCCAGAACCTGAGTGTTGCATGTGCATCAGTTTTACAGATCTGATTCACTTGAATGCAGACTGTTGCTTCCTCGCCCCTCAGGCAGATGCACTCCGACTTCAAAGGAAGCTCCCCAATTAGTCGACTTTTACGACATGCTTTTGGGTATACAGTGGGTCTGTTCTTGTTTTCTCCCACAATGGGGCCCCGGAACCCACACGGGGAATACACTATTTTAATGACACAGAGTAAGTGAGATTATCTAAATATTCATAGTGCAGTGTCTGTCTTAATGACAACGCAGAAAGGTGTAAACAAAGCAGTATTTGAAGCAATAATATAAAAAATTAAGTAAAGATCCCTTTTCACACCTTTAGGTGCATCGGGCTTATAGGAAGAGCACCCAGATTTTTTCAGACCAATCGGCACTAGTTGGGTTATGTGGTCAGCATTACACCAGCCGTCTTTACTTCCCAGGACACACATCCTAATACCCATTTTAGGCTGGGTCGACCTGCGACGCCCCATACCATGATAAAAATCCATGCAAGGCAATAATACAAATTACAAAACTGTCCTAAATAAATATTGACACAATAAATTAAATAACAAATGTTTACTCGGCTATAACCCTAAGGGTTGAATAGGATATTTTGTAAAATTACTACTTCTTGTATGTATAGAATTTGGAATGTTAGAAAAACTTAATTAGGCAGTCCTCCTTAAGACAGATGAAAACCATAAATTGACTACAGAAATTAGAAGTAGTCATGTTTTTCGAACATGTTATTAGAAGGAATGAACTCAAAAACTTGGTTACAACCGACACAGTTGACAGAAAAAGAGCAAGGGGAAGGCAAAGAGATAATGGCTTGGCCGTGTGGATGGGGTGAGACTAGAGCACTGGTCTGATCTGTTATTTTTGGGATCGTGTGAGATGGAGAAACATGACAGCCTGTTGCTAATTGGCAATGCATGTGATGATGGTGATATAGAATTTTAAAAAGTGGCTGTTTGAAGGGTCAGATTTGGTTTGTCTCTTTCTTCTCTTGGAAAGTAAGATGCACCTGGCTTGTGCAGAGCCTGCGTAATAAAACCCCTAGACAAGTTTGGGACTTGTCAATGGGAAAACTAAGATTTGGTTTGGCATTTATGGTGATGATATAGAATTTTTTAAAGGTGGCAATTTGAAGGGTCAGATTTGGTTCGGCCTGTGATGATGGTGATATAGAATTTTAAAGTGGCTGTTTAAAGGGTCAAATTTGGTTTGGCGTTTTCATATGCAGCTAAAACCTATAAATATTTCTTTTACTGCTTATTGCCTTTGCTGTGTCGTGTTAGTGCATCTGTCTGAGAGGTGAGAAACCAACTGTCTGCATACAAATTAACCAAATCTGTAAAATGGATATGTGTGATGAGGTGCTTTGCATGGTCTCCACGCACACAGAGAGCAAAGCGGAAAATCTGTGCTACAAGTGACAGCACGAGATACTTGTGGCTGGTGGAGTAAGCGAGGGGAAGCCTGAGCTAGACTCGTGGTCAGTTGATCACCAGAAGTCAGAGAATACGGTTGTATTAGTAGAAGATGTAGTCCCTATGTCGTGTGTGTGACAAGTATTTGAATATGTCGCGAGCGATAGAAGTCTGAATAATTGTTGAAACATGTAGAATAAATGTAACTAAATAAACTGAAAGTATATATAAGAAAGCAGAGCAGTGTTTGTGTTATCAACCCTACACGTTAGAGCAGTGCAAATTATGTTGTAGTAATCATAGAGAGTGAACCATGGCGAAAGCAGATATGTAGTAAGTCAAGGTTCATTTAAAGTGGTCCTGCATTTCAAGTTACATTCCAACGTAGTTGAAAGCGTAGCTTCAATCCAAGCGTCAAGGTTCATTCCAATATGCATGCAAAACTCAAGTTCTGGAGCAAGACCGAAGTCCAGAAGTGGATAAACAACCTGAACTTTCTGCAGGAGTGAACACAAAGAAGATAATGTACTCCAGTTTTCCCTTTCTCCAAACATGCTTAACCCCCTGTCACCTCGGTAACGCTAAAAAAAATATGTCATGAACCTGTGGAAGTTTCCTTTAAAAAATTTTTTTTTTTCAAACAACAGTTAAACAGGTCACTAATAAAAAAAATTTTTTTCAAACAACAGTTAAACAGGTCACTAATAAAAAAAAATTGTTTCAAACAACAGTTAAACAGGTCACTAATAAAAAAAAATTGTTTCAAACAACAGTTAAACAGGTCACTAATACAAAAAAATTGTTTCAAACAACAGTAAAACAGGTCACTAATAAAAAAAAATTGTTTCAAACAACAGTAAAACAGGTCACTAATAAAAAAAAAAATTTTTTTCAAACAACAGTAAAACAGGTCACTAATAAAAAAAAATTGTTTCAAACAACACTAAAACAGGTCACTAATAAAAAAAAAAATTGTTTCAAACAACAGTAAAACAGGTCACTAATAACAAAAAAATTTTTTCAAACAACAGTTAAACAGGTCACTAATAAAAAAAATTTGTTTCAAACAACAGTTAAACAGGTCACTAATTAAAAAAAAAATTGTTTCAAACAACAGTTAAACAGGTCACTAATAAAAAAAAAGGTTCATTGTTGCAGATATCACCACCCTCCATTTATCTCTCTGGTTGGCCTTCTCTTTCCAATTGGTCACACCAAATGTTTGCAGGTCTGTCTGGACATTTTCTCTCCATCGTCTTCTTGGTCTGCCTCGTGGTCTATGACCATTCATCTCCCTTGTGTATACAGTTTTTACTTCTCTGTCATCTGACATTCTTTCAATATGCCCTAATCATTTCAGTCTATTAGCTCTCATGATGCCAGTGATCAATGGTGATTTAAATAGATTATGAATTTCATTATTTCTTCTCACTCTCCATTCCCCACTGTTTACATCTTTGATAGGTCCAAAGATTCGTCGTAAGACTCTATTTTCAAAAACCTGTAATAAGGCTTTATCTCTTTTAGTTGTGCTCCAAGTTTCAGAGCCATATAACACAACTTTGCTTATCAACGTTTGATATATTTTGATCTTGGTGTTGCGAGACAGACACTTTGACTTTAGCAGATGTTGAAGAGCATAGTATACTTTATTTCCAGATTATATTCTAGATTGTATTTCTTCTCTCAGCATGTTTGAGCAGTTGAAGTTTGCACCCAAATACTTATATGTTTCTGTTCATTTTATTTTTATATTATTGACTTATATGTGGCCGGAGTTTATATTCTTTCCCTGTCTAGTTATTATCATGTATTCTGTCTTATCATCTAGTCTCATTTTCTGAGCTGATTCTTTTAAGAGAGTCAGTGTTTTTTAGAGTCTCGAGGAAAAACAGAATACGAAATCACACAAATGCTAGGAATAAAGTCAGTCTTACAGGTCATCAAAGAACAAAAAATGAAGTGGTTTGGACATCTAACAAGAAAGCCCTGGTACTATCTGCTACAGCGAGCCACACTAAAACATTACAACAGGTATAGAGCGAGTGGAAGACCTCGGAAAATATGGAGTGATGGCATTAAGAACAGCCTTACAGAAATGAACATCAGTCTTAATAGTGCTCTTGACAGAGCTCATCAATGAATGTTACATCTCGCCCCGACACTTCGATGAGTTACAAGTTGGAAGAAGTAGAAGAAGAAAAATAAGAAGTGTTTTAACAGTCTCTAGTTTATTTTCTCCGATATCAGTATCGTCTGCATAACCAAATATTCTTGTGGATTCTCCTATAGTACACTCTCATTTTAATTTCCTTATAATTTTCTCCAGGGCTGATGTTCACAAGCAAAACCTCTAATGGCTATTTTTAGTAAATGTATCCATATCCTGACCTAAATGCTGCGCAGGAACAAAAACAGCAAATCATATAAACTATGTGTCTCGTAAGCACGCCACCATAGTCAAGTCGATTAAGCAGCATTGATGGGGAATTGAACCCTACGAGAAGTTTCAGGTTTGCGGCTTCCTGGATTGGAGCTAAACTATATGGCTGGGACTCACACGAACAGCAGCTACCGCATCTCCTGCAGCTTCCTTCATTTTATTTACTCATGAGTCCTAGCCATCTAGTTTAGCCCCAATCCACGAGGCGTGGGGGATACTGTCAGCGGTGGCAGAAGTTCGCTATTCGGCGGAAGTCCCCGGAAGTGCGCAATTCACATGTGACTGAGGCTCTATTAGGATATTTTTTCCACCTCGATAATTTAAGACTGTTATTCAGAGGATAGCCAAATTAGGGCTAAATTTAAAGTTGAGAGGATCAGCTTCATTGCCCCTGGTTATTCCATGTTGCCCAGTCTCTCCACAGAACAGCTAGAGTGTCACACAAAGCACACACTCTAAAACCCACTTCTTCTTCGTGTTCACTGACATTAAACTCCAGCGGACAGTTCTGGTTGTTTGTCAACTTCTTCTTTGGCTTATTTGTATGCAGACTGTTGGTTCCTCACCACTTATGTAGATTCATTCTAATTTTGGAGGTAACACCCCAGTTAGTTGCCATAATTGTTAGGCACAGTGGGTCTATTCTTTTTTCCCTCCAAAGGGAAGCACCTGAATCCACTCAGGGAGACACAGCTCAAACAGTCTGTATTTTAAGATAATCTTCTTCCTCTTCTGTGTTCACCGGCTGTAAGCTCCAGTGGAAAGTCCTGGTTGTTTGGATTTTGGCTTTGTGCCAGGGTCTGATTTTTTAGTGTACATCTGTTTTACTGGCTTATTTGTGTGCAGTTTGTTGTTCCTTGCTGCTCGGGCAGATGCAGTCGGATTTCAGGGAAGTCCCCAATTAGTTGACTCCTATTACATGCTATTTTTTGGGGGAGGCAGTGAGTCTATTCTTGTTTTTCCCCACCATGGGGCCCCGAAACCAAAAGGGGGATTTAAGGTCATAAAAAGAATGGCCTTAAAAAAACATCAACATATACCAGCTTGGGGGGGGGGAGGGAGGGTAGAAACTCGGGGTCACCCAACCAACAACCGGCTGCAAAAGACAGTTAATTGGGGAGTGTCCTTTGAAGTCATAGTGCATCTGTCTGTGAGGGAAGGAACCAGCGATCTGTGTATGAATGATCTGTAAAATGGATGTGCATGCAGAAAAGACCAGATTCCAGAAGTAGATGAACAATCAGAACTTTCCGCTGGAGTTCACAGCTGGTGAACGCTTAAAAAAAGAAAAGAAAAATAGTAAGAAATGTCAACTGCATACATTACATCCTTTTCTTGAAGAGCTAATGCATTGTATCTTTGCAGATTTATTCACGGTTGTTCTGCATCATCAGCGTATACATTTTATCACTGGCAGTTGATTGACATCTTTATCTACTTCAGTCATAACTTTGTTACCATCCCTCCTATTGGGTGGATTCAAGCTGCCAAGAAACATAGTGTAATGGTTTTAGGTAAGTTAGGCCAACCTAGCTACCTGTGTGAGTTGACAGTTTCATTTAGTAAATCAATCTTTTCTCTGACTAAGGTGACAGCCTGAGACTGGTTTCCATTTTTATGTTGTCTAGTGTGTTCTTCTATCTTTCTATTTCTTTCTATGAGTGCCAATCAATACACTTTCTGTTACTTGATTAATTCATAATATTTAACGGCCTCAAAGATTGGCCCTCTGTTTATTTATAAGAATTTCCATTGAAAGGACATTCTAGTCACACTCAGTGCTCTTTTTTTTCTCCTGGTGGTACACAACCAAGGAAATTCTATTTATACTCAGGGCTTTTTCCCCCTGATGGTACACAACGGTAAGAAGTACCAGCACTTATGTTTTTAGGCATCAAAATGAGCCCCTGGAAATGTGGGTATACAGAAGAATAGGTCATACTTATTGCAAACAAAAGAGTCCATTACAGAGGTTCTGGAAAGACTACAAATGAAAAGAGAATTACTAAAAGAAATTTTAAAAAGATGATTAAAATACTTTGGCCACATTAAAAAACACACTTTTAAAAACCATACAGGAGGGAACGGTCAAAGGTAAGAGAGCAAGAGGTGGGAAATGATACAATTGGAAAGACAACATCAAAAGATGGACGAACAGCAGTATGAGAGAGTGAACAACTAGGGCAAGAAACAGAGCATGTTGGAGATGGTAACCACCCAAGGAACCTCACAAAGTATGGCCTAGAATGTGTGATTACCTAAAATTTCATGTCCCATCAGCGGTATCTGCTGTAGGACTATTTTTACCTTCATATTAATTAATTTAGTCTGCATCTGTGGCTAAGGCATTGCGAATATGCTTTATAATGTTGTGGGGCTGCACACGATCTGTCTAATGTTGGTTTTAACAGTCCTACCGAGAGCAGACCGTTAAGAAAGCAGTGGCAAACTACTGAACATAACATTTTGCACAAATATTTTTCTCAAAAACCACAACAGCCAGAAAATGCTGGGGTTAGTTCCAAAACGTCCTATAAAGGATACGCAATTAACCTTTTTTTATTAATTCATTAATAACTTCCATGAATGTTAACTGCTACTTGCAGATGATTATTTTCTTCGTTTTGTCAAATTTCCAATATTTAAACTTTTTTTTCCCAGGCACCATTATAACAGAATGGGATACGGGCGCAGAGATTTGTAAAGAGTTGTTAAAGTCTGAAGAGTCCATAGACCAGTTTACAACAAAGTTGTCAGAGATGGCTTTACTGCATGGGTTTGATGGCTGGCTCATCAACATTGAAAATAAAATTGAGGTGAATCTTATCTGATGTTTTTTTTTTTTGTTTAAGACTTATTCCAAACAATGATAATTTAAAAACCTCTTTTAAATAGTCCTTTATTGTGTAAGATTGTTTTGCCATATATGATTTATTTTTCTCTACACTTTTTTTTTAAAATAAACATGAGTTGTGCAAACCTCACAAAAAGTTTGTTTTTCTCAAATATATTTGTGTACATATAGAAAAAAAAAATGTATTTAAAATATATAAAGATTTATAAAAGGAATAAACATGAACAGAGTGAAGCATTAAATGGAACACATTCCTGGGGGCCTAATAGTATATGTATCAGGTGACTCATGCTGTGACCCTGTGACCTCTTTCACTGAGGCTTGTGGGAAATGTTGACATCAGCTTGGTTTTAAAAAATAATTTGCTTTGAAGGGAAAAACCTTAAATGCTATTGTGACGGCAATAGCCTACCATGTGTCCCCTAAATCAGGGCCACTCAGCTAAGTTTACTCAGTGGCCAAAAGTGTTGGAAAACCGGGATCATCAAGGGCCAGAGGCCCCAGCCCGAGCATAGGAAGATAATAAATCAATACAGTTGGTATGTGATCCACGGGCCACTTGCTAGGCCTCTGCGAGCCACATTTGGCCAGTGGGTCACCAGTTGAATAGTTCTGCCCTAAATCTTCAGTCAAACCACCCCCCACCCCTTGCGTACGCTGAGGAAGGGATAAATACAGGCAGTAATAACAGTTTTTGGCAGTGAAATCAGTTATAAACTTGTAGATGAACTATCGCATGTCTTGATTTCAAATATGTTTGTATTTTCTGGCAGTCAAGTAATGAAACTTTTTTCTAACCACACTGACGCGATTTCTTTAGAATTCAAATATTGTTGCTGTTCTGGGGCACCATTCTGCCTCCCCCCCCCCCCCCCCCCCCCAACCCCCCCCCCCCCCCCCCCCCCCCCCCCCACAACTTCTCACCAACAAGTATGCCATAAAAGGCAACTAATTTTTTTTTTCTTTTTTTATCAGCTGTAAGCTCCAGTAGAAAGTCCTGGTTATTTATCAGTTTTGCCTTTTTTTTGGGGGGGGGGGGGGGGGGAGGGAACCAGAGCCTGAGTTTTGCGTGTACATTCATTTTACTGGCTTATTTGTGTGCAGTTGGTTGTTCTTTGCCGCTCGGGCAGATGAGGAGGCAACTATTTTGGGTTTTGCTAACATCAGATGTGTTGGACTGAAAGATGCAGATTGAGGCCTAGCTCTAGACGTGCCAGCAACCTCTTCGAAGGTGAATGCAGGTGAAGTGATATTCTTTATGCCATTTAACAGTCAAATGAGAATTTCTCTATCGTTTTGTTGTCCACAGAGTGACCAAGTTGCTCGACTGCTGACATTTGTGCAGCAGCTGACAGTAAAATGTCGTCATCTGTTAAATGCTTCTAAAGTGTTGTGGTATGACAGCGTTATCAACACGGGTGAACTGATCTGGCAGGACGAACTCAACTCTCTCAATGAGTAAGTGCTTATTTTCTCAAGTATTGTAATGTTCATAAAGGTAAATTTCAGGTTAACAGCAGGTCTGTCTGTTTGAACAATGAATCTTCTATCTGTTACATGCATGATTATCCCATTTACATTTTTGAATATCATAATGCATCTCTTTGTTCCCATTTAACATAAATATTTGTATTCATAATACATTGGAGAGTTCCCATTTAGAATGAATTTTTGAATATCATAATGCATCTGTAAGTTCCCATTTAGCATGAATTTTTGATTTCATGATACATCGGTTAGTCCTCATTTAACGTGAATTTTTTAATATTATAATGCATCTGTTAGTCCCTCTTTAGCATGAATTTTTGATTTCATAATACATCGGTTAGTCCTTATTTAGCATTATTTTTGAATATCAAAATGCATCTGTCAGTCCCATTTAGCATTATTTTTGTATTCATAATGCATCTGTTTGACCCCATTTAGTGTGCATTTTTGTATTCCTTATGCATCTGTTAGTACCCGTTTAGCATGAATACTTATTATTCCTAATACATTTGTTAGCTTTGTTTAGTGTGAATTTCTTTTACAGAAACTCTTGTGGTTTTTTGTGTGTGTGTGTGTGTGTGTGTGTGTGTGTGTGTGTGTGGTCCCTCTGAATTTGTGTTAGTGATGTTAGTTCATTTGACGGCTGCGTTGTTTAGCTCACGCTTGTGGTTTTAAGGAGACCCCGGGGGGATTATCACCGGAGCTACGATTTCTGTGCTTTGTATGACTCTTTCGGCAAGCAGCTAGCCATTCTACAGAGGGGGACCAAGCAATGGGATGCTATGAAGTCAATCCTCTCACTTTAAACCTTTAACCTATAAACCATATGTTTTTAAGACCCCTTTCACACTATTGGCTCATTGAGTATATGGGGCTAAACCCATATTTAAATAAACTAGTTGATTCTTGGTATATTAATAATCAGCATACTTTTACTTAGGGCATTTCCTGTTGTCCATTTTCAGCTTAGTCTTGATCAGTTACAATCCAAATTGATTCATATTTGAATGCAAGACCTGCTGGCCAGCAGACAAGCAACCAGCTACTACCTACCTAGTGCAAAGGAAAAGAAATTCAAATAGGCAAAATTATTTGCTGCAAAATAATTATATTTTTGTTTACTTATTACCCAGTATGAAATAACTCTCACAATTCACAGAATGTTCTTCACAGTAGCAGACGGAATATTTTTAAACTACTGCATCACGAAAGAAAAACTGATACGTTCAAAGCAGCTGTCATCACTTTTTGGTCGAGAGTTTGACGTCTTTGCTGGAGTTGATATTTTTGGTCGTTCACCGCCCGCATATGGAGGATTTAGCACAAGAGAGGTGTGTTTCTTAAGTGGTAAAATTGTGTCTTTAATCATATATACACCTGTGTGTCACCGGGGCCATCACAGGAAGCAAATAGTAACACTGCACCCTACCAGGCATGTCGTAAGAGGCGACTACCTCATCCTATAAAAACAATAGCCATAAAAACTAACCAACCATGGAAAAGTCAAAAAGATAGAACAACGGCATGAATTGTTTCAGGGCCTATGCTCCATTGGGAGTTAGAAAGGCAGAAGAAGAGTCATCACCTATATCCTGTTCAACTCTTCATTATGTGAACAGTTTGCAGTCAAGCATTTGATTGTTAACACCGGTTGTTGTCATTACTTGTGCATGTATAACTTCTTTTAGGTCTTGCATGCATCTTCTCCTTGGACGCTGTCTTGCTTTCACGATGCAGTGCCTGTGTTAGTAGTTGTGTTTGCATTATAACAAGGTAACGTGACTGTTTGTTTGATCTTCTGCCTGTTTTAGGTCTTCAGTGTTGATTAGGCCCACGGTTGAGCCTTCCCTGATGATGGTTCTACGCAGAGTCTCTCTCTCTCGGGTCTTTCCCATTTTCTTTTCCCTTCTGGTGTCCATATGAGGGCTTGATGGGGTAGTCTGACCTTATCCATTCTGAGTGCATGGTCAACGTAGTTCCAGTGGTACTTTCTGATAAAACTGAATACATTATCTTGCTTGGTCTCTTGTCTTATTTACACACTGGATCTGAAATCTGTTCAGTGGAGATTTAGTATTCTTCTAAGACAAATTTTTCTCAAAATTGTCTAATTTGTTTTTATTTAGAGCTACCATTGCTTTCCAATTCTCACATTCACTGGAATCACACAAGAAGATCTTAGATTTTGTGTGTCTGCTGCTTGGTACCCAAAGAATTAATTAATAATTCAGATATATATTTTCCCCGTGTGGGTTGCAGGGCCCTATTATAGCGAAAACAAGAATAGACCCACTGCCTACCCAAAAGCATGTCGTAAAAGTTGACTGACTGGGAGCTTCCTTCGAAGTCAAAGTGCATCTGCCTGAGAGGCAAGGAACCAACAGTCTGCACACAAATGAATCAGATCTGTCAAATGTATGCACATGCAACACTCAGGTTCTGAAACCAGGCTGCAGTCCAGAAGTCGACGAACAACCAGAACTTTCCGCTTTAGTTTACAGCTGGTGAATGAGAAGAAAAAGAAGATATATATTTTTTTTTTTAATAATACCTTCACTAACAATAGGTACAGTTTATTGCCTGTCTTATTTCTCTATCTCGTCAAGTGCATTACAAAACTGAATTCTTTTCACTGAGTTGATCCAAGAACTGACATCACAGCAGCTCAATATATGCTGTATCTCAGAAAATCATACATTAATGTATGACTTTCAAAGGTAAGCATATAAACATGATTCATTGCGATCATTGTGCCAGTTGGGGTTCTACTTTGAAACCCTCTGGGACTGAAGAGGTTAATGAATGATTCAGTAATACATTTTATTAAGAATTAATTAATAGTTCAGTGATATATTGTGTAATGAATTAATGAATAATTTGGTGATATATGTAATGAGAAGTACTTACACTGTGTTGTTCTCAAATTTGTACAGACACTGAAACTGATTCTGGACCAAGGCTTGTCTTGTGCTCTGTTTGCTCCTGGCTGGGTGTACGAACATTTGGGGCCGGAGCAGTTTGATTCCAATGAACTAACGTATGTCTAGGGGATATTCAAATAGTTTACGTATAAAGCTATCAAACCTTTTGGTACCAAGCAGTACACTGTACATTTTTTGAAAGCATCAAATATGATATTGTCATTTTATATGGCTCTGAAACCTGGAGCACAACTAAAAGAGATGTAGCCTTATTGCAGGTTTTCGTCTTACGACGAATCATTGCACCCATCAAAGATGCAGACAGCGGGAAATGGAGAGTGAGAAGTGACAACGAAATTCATAATCTGTTTAAATCACCATTGATCACTGGCATCATGGGATAATAGACTGAAATGGTTCAGGCATGCTGAGAAGAAGATGGAGAGATAATGTCCAGACAGACCTGCAGACACTTGGTTTCACCAACTAGAAATAGAAGACCAACCAGAGAGATGAATGGAGGCGGGTGATATCTGCAGCAATGAACCTCAAGGGCTCGGAATTCTGAAGAAGAAGAAAAAGATCAAATATGATATAATTTGTTTACATGTTTTGTCTCATCCAATTATTACATTAATCTGTTCTTTTTCTTATAGTCCAAGCTATGTGGTGCTGGTAATCATGTCCTTCCACAACCTCATGTCTCAGATATTTTCAAAAATGACACAGATGATCTCCCATGCCACTATGTCAAACTGTCAAACATCTTCTCTCTCGATCTCCCTCTACCTCTTTTCCCCTCCAACTTTCCCAACCTCACAATGTACTCCAGTTTTGTCCTTTTGATGTCATGACCAAAGAATGTATGTTATCGGATGTGGCAATCAGTCATTTTTTTAGTTCTATAAGAATAGGTACTCCTTGTAGATCTGGGTTATTATTTGAAGGGGTGGAGGGTTGGGGAGGGGGGGGGGGGTGAAGTATAGACCCACATAATAGATGACTAACTGGAGTTTTGCTCAAATTTACAGCTGTAAACCGAAACACAATATACCAACTGCCCTATAAAGGATGAACACAGATGAAGATAAGAATAGCCTTTCCCGATGTTGGTTCTACGCAGGGTCTTTCTTGGTCTTACCCATTTTCTTTTCCTTCTGGTGTCCATCTGATGGCTTGATGGGGGAGTCTGGTCTTATCCATTTTGAGTGCATGTAGTTCCAGTTTGTAGTTCTAGTGGCCATTTTTTAAATAAAATTTGATACATTATCTTGCTTGGTCTCTTGTCTTATTTGCGTATCGGATCTGAAATATGTCCTGTGGAGATTTAGTATTCCCATTGGGGGACACAAAAGAATAGACTCACTGCCCCTTAGCAAGCGACATCTGAACCTTTTGGCCCAACACATTCCATTTTATTAGATCACTCAGGTGCCATCTCTCAGTGAATGCTGGCTGCGATGGATCTCCAACACACTTTCTCTTTTAGTCCCATTCCATCCTATTTCAGCAGTTCCTTAGTTGCCTTTCATGACATGCTAGTTAAATATCAGTGGTTCTATACTTTTCCTCCCACAATGGGGTCCCATCACTCAGATATGGAGTGAAAAATATGTTATAGATTATAGTTGCCTTTGTTTGTGCTGCATATATTTGCCTTGTCTTTATTCACATAGGTTCTGGGGATTACTGAGTGAGATGCTGTCCCCTAGACCTGTTGAAATACCATTTGCAACATCATTTTGTCGTGGCTACGGAGATAGATTTTACATACAGGGGCAGGTGAGAATTTTTAAGTTTTTACAGGGACACATGAGAATTTTTAGGATTATACAATGACAGGTGAGAAATTTAAAACAGGTTTTACATGGAGAGGTGAGAATTTTTAAGGTTACAGGGACAGGTGAGAATTTAAAACAGGTTTTACAAGGATAGGTGGTAAATTGAAACAGCTTTTACAAATCATAGGAAAATAATATGTACACTTCGCCCCAATATGGGACCCAGTTTTGTTTTTTTTGAAACCCCATGCCAGCAGTTGCTGGGGGGCCTTAATATAACCTAATGGTTCAACAAGGTTTCTGGGACTTGTACCAGGATACTCTCGCCCCAATGTTGGCACGTTGTATCAGCAGATGTTTTTCTCCTGATTAGGTTGAAGGTCACTATGAAAATTGTAAATGTAAACTAAGTAATGTATTTACAATTCCAGTGCTAAGTAGCCTGAGATTGTCATGCAACAGAAAGTTTCTTTGTTAACACAGGAGTTAGACAGGGATGCAAAATGAGAAATAATCAGAAAACAATTTACTTTTCTTAAATAAAACAATAAATGAAGTTCAAGAATTGATATACTTTGGGAATAAAGATGCTCAGATGGAGATTCTAAAAAGGATTTAGCGGCAGGAAGAAACAAAAAAAAAACCAAAGCATTTGCCAATCTTAACAAAATATGAAAGGGACTTAGTTTGAAGAGAAAGCTAACATTATACAAAAGCAACATTTTAGGAGTTATACAAAAGTGAGTATGGGAAAATAACAGCAGTGATAACACAATAACACATAACCCTGTATCCACAAAGTCCAAATACACAGCACATTGTTTCACCTACACAGCCGAAATCCTAGCACTAGATCAGGCTGCCAAAATCTTACACAACATTAGTTCTGACTGCCACCAAGTGGTCATCTTTACAGTTTCTTTATGTTATTTACTGTTTATGATGCTACATATTATGTTATGTACTGTTTATGAACTGGACGTAAATTTGCCTAGAGAAACCAGACAACAGCCAGTGGCTGCTGGGGTTGGTTCTGCAACGTCCAGTAAAGGATACGCAACTAACCTAACTGTTTATGATACTACATATTATGTTATGTACTGTTTATGATACTACATATAATATTATTACTGTTTATGATACTACATTTTATGTTGTATACTGTTTATAATACTACATATTATGTCATATACTGTTTATGATACTACATATTATGTCATATACTGTTTATGATACTACATATTATGTTATATACTGTTTATGATACCACATATTATGTCATATACTGTTTATGATACTACATGTTATGTCAAATACTGTTTATGATACTACATATAATGTTATATGCTGTTTATGATAGTGCATAATATGTTATATACTGTTTATAATGCTACATATTATGTTATATACTGTTTATGATACTACATATTATGTTATATATACTGTTTATGATACAACATATTATGTTGTATACTGTTTATGATACTACATATAATGTTATATGCTGTTTATGATAGTACATATTATGTTATATACTGTTTATAATGCTACATATTATGTTATATACTGTTTATGATACTACATATTATGTTGTATACTGTTTATGATACTACATATTATGTTATATATACTGTTTATGATACTACAAATTATGTTGTATACTGTTTATGATACTACATATTATGTTATATACTGTTTATGATACTACATATTATGTTATATATACTGTTTATGATACTACATATTATGTTATATACTGTTTATGATACTACATATTATGTTATATATACTGTTTATGATACTACATATTATGTTATATACTGTTTATGATACTACATATTATGTTATATATACTGTTTATGATACTACATATTATGTTATATACTGTTTATGATAATACATATTATGTTATATACTGTTTATGAAACTACATATTATGTTATGTACTGTTTATGATACTACATATTATGTTATATATACTGTTTATGATACTACATATTATGTTGTATACTGTTTATGATACTACATATTATGTTATATATATACTGTTTATGATACTAAATTCTTTATCCCACTCCACCAGGCTGTTACAGATGGCCCTTGGTACAACCTGAGTCTGCAGCAGATCCAGCCAAGCTTTACCCACAGCCAGTTTGTGGCTTACACAGTCACCAAAGTCATAGAGCCTGAAGCTTCAGAAGACAAACAGCAACAGGAGAAGAAGCAGAAGTGTACTGTTCAAGTGGAAACTTGTGCAAGATATCCGGCCTGTCCTGAAATGAAATATGATTTGAGTGTGGGGTATTTAGGTGGAGGCAGTCTTAGGCTTGGTGCAGGGAGAATGCAGTCTGTGCCTGTCTTGTTTCGGTGTGTATTTCTAACTTTATTTATTCTTCATTTCTTCTTCTTCTTCTTTCTTCTTCAACATTCCCAGTCTTCATGGTTCATTGCTGCAGATATCACCTGCCTTCATTCATCTCTGTGGTTAGTTAGCCTTCTCTTTCCAGTTGGTGACACCCATTGTTTGTAGGATGTTATCTCTCCACCCCATCATCTTCTTGGTCTGCCTCGTGGTCTATGATCAATCAGCTTCCTTGTGTCGGATACTTTATTTTTTCTTTCTTTCACTCACGTCTTAATTTTGTGTTCCATATACTTTATTTGCACTTTTTTTTTTCAAATCCTCAACTCTATTTCTACTTTATTTCACATTGTTTCAAAATTCTCTCTGTATTTTACAGACTAGTTTCCCTGAGAGCCCACCAGGAGAGATCAGTCTGTGTGTCCGTGATTTGGAGTCTTCCGTCTGAGACTTCTGGCCACGCTGGAGTGGTTCTGTCAGCAGGTGGGCCAGGCCAGCGTCAAGGACGATCCATAATTGTATACCTGGACACTACTCTCAGTGACAGGCACAAGGATGTGGCATCTAAAACACTTCAGGATTCGGAAGGTTACCTAGAACCTGTTCATTTTCTGACTGCTGCTAAACGTGATATAATTAGTGAAGAAGGAAACTGGACACAATGGTTTGTAGTTTCTTGTCTTTCTTCTTCTTCTTCACTTTTTAACCCTTCGACTTTGTTCTTGGTCTACATTTAGTTTTACGTGCATCTCCTCTTTCTGATTGCCCATACATTTCTCTTATTTCTTCATCTCTCTTGAATTAATCCCATTTTTATGTTCAGTATTGTCATCAGGAGGGGATTGGGGGGAATACACACACGCACGTGCGCACACACATATACAGATATATATATATGTGTGTGTGTTTGTGCGCACTGACTTTTTTTATACCCCACCAGGACATCACACAAGCGATAAACACCATGCGGATGAGGATCACCGTAGAGAGGTCCCAGAAACCACATTCAGACAATTGGCCATATTTATGGCCTGCCTAAATTGCAGCCCCTGGCAAAGGCCAGGGTGGGGCTTCAAATAACAAAAAATGTCATCCTAAAAAGGACGTGAGGAGCTATCTATGTGTGCACATACACACATTTATAAAATAGGACTACTGTAATCAATCATCTTTGCACTCATAATTTCTGATCATTGACTTTTTTATAAAAGATATTAAATGGTCTTTATTACTTGTGATGGACTAGCAACACACACGGGTTTGTACACACACGCACCAGTTCATCATATCTGTACCTAACTTCATTTCTATCTTCAGGAGCTTTGATGCAGACTTAAGTCTTCTATTAAGGAAAGATGATCAAGAATTTACGCTGTCAATAATTTTGATTCCTCCCCTTGAAGTGTGTGATGGGGTCACGTCTGCTAGACAGATGTCTGTTCATATTGGCCACCTGCAGGTAGGTAACTCTTGCTTACATCAGCTTCATGAACGTTGTGGTGGTTTTCGGTGGAAGAAATGCAATTTCAGGTGGCTAGATGGTGGTGCGACCCAGCTGAAGGGTAGTTTACAGCTAGGCTGTGATATCTGCTCCTTTTGGCTCAACACATCCAATTTCAGCACACCCCTAAATAGTCAATTTTACGACATGCTTGCTGGAAGGGGAAGCAGTGGGTCTTTTTTTATTTTATTTGGGTGTCTTACTGCTTATACCGTAGAGGACTTAGAAGTAGTTTTCTGGCTTTTGCCAGTTGCATGTCTTGTGTTAATGTCATTTTGTGTTTCTGTTGTGTCTCTTTTATTCCTTCCACCCATCTCCTTCTTGGTCAGCCTCTTGACTTGTAGCCTGCTGTTCTCATGCAGTATGCTCTAGCTTCTGGCTGATTTTATTATATTCTGACCAGATGACCAAACCATTTGATTCATTGATGTTGTATGAAATCATTGACTGATGCTGTGCCTACCGTTGTTCTGTTCTTCCCTCCATCTCTCACCCTAAATTAATTTGAGCCCTGGACCCACACAGGGATAGAATCTTATTTTGCATGCAGGGTTTACTCAGAGTTGGCTAAGTTGGAGCTCCACTGGTGCTGTGAAGTTGCTGTGCTGTGAAGTTGCTGTGCTGTGAAGTTGCTGTGCTGTGAAGTTGCTGTGCTGTGAAGATGGTGTGTTATGCTGAGGTTATCTTTTTGTTATCATTTTCCCAAATGAAAAATATTCTGTGCAATCTTTCTTTTTGTCAGTTGAGATGAGAAAGAGAATTATCAAAAGCTATATAAATCCTATCCTGACATACGGAAGTTAATCACAGTTGAATGATTAATGAAATATTTTCCGGAAGCAACAGAGATGTGGTTTAATGGACAAATGATGAGAATACCCTGGACAGATAAAAAGAGTAATGAAGATGTCTTGAAAGAAACTGACTCACGCAGAGAACTGATTGCCCACATCAGAAGGAAACAATCTACATTCTTTGGTCATGAGATGAGAAAAAGAAAACTGGAATACATGGTGATGACAGTAAACTTGGAGGCAAAAAGAGGTAAGGTGAAGCTGAGAGAGAAGATGCTGGGACAGTCTGACATCATGGCTTGAAAGATCATCTTTGTCAGAACTGGTTGAAAGTACATGAGACGGAAAGTTTTTGATATGACATGACTACCAACATCACACAGCATGGACTATGAAAGATCGTCTGTGTCAGAATTGATTAAAAATACATGAGCCAGAAGGTGGTGGATAGATGTAACTACCAACATCACACAGCATGGACTATGAAAGATCAATCTGTGTCAGAATTGATTAAAAATACATAAGCCAGAAGGTTGTGGATAGACATGACTACCAACATCACACAGCATGGACTATAGAAGATCATCTGTGTCAGAATTGATTAAAAATACATGAGAAAGAAGGTTGTGGATAGACGTAACTACCAACACCACATGACATTGACTATAAAATGACTGGACCGGAGCTTCACTATTGCTACAGAGTTTGTGTGCTATGGTGAGATTCTCTTTGTGTGATCTAAGGGAAGTACTTGAAGAGATATCTGTGTGCAGTGAACCTCAAGGGCTTGAAATGATGGGAGGAAAAACAACCAGAGCGAAAGAAACAGAAGAACTGACGACATTGTTTCCATGTCCTAGGACATAATCAGCACCTGGAAAATTAAAGGACCCTTTTCAGTGCCTTCAGGTGTATTAGGCATAAAGAGCTTCTTCATCTTCCTAAACTCCATGCCGTCTGGCGTTGGTAGTTATGTGTATCAACAACCTTCTGTCTTGTGTACTTTCAGTCAACTCTGCCACAGATGATATTGCATCCTATAAAGTCAAACTGCCAGCATCTTTTCTCTTGGTCTCCCTCTGCCTCTCTTCCCCTCCAATTTCCTACTGTCACGATGTACTCCAGTTTTTCCCTTCTCATCACATGACCAAAGAATGTAGATTGTCTTTTTCTGATGCGTGCAATCAGTTCTCTTCGTGAGTCAGTTTCTTTCAGGACATCTTCATTGCTCTTTTTTATCTGACCAGAGTATTCTCATCATTTGTTTATTAAACCACATCTCCTCAGCTTCCAAAAAAGTTTTCACTAATGTACCAATTGTCCATAAGTCACTTCCATATATCAGGATAGGATTTATATAGCTTTTAAGAATTCTCTGTCTTGTCTCAGTTGACAAAGAAAAACTACATTAAATATTCTTCATTTTGTAAACTGCTGCCTTAGAGTGTGAGACTTATTTTTTATAGACCAATCAGCACTTGGTGGGTTATGTGGTCAACATCACACCAGCCGCCTTTCCTTCCCAGGACTTTACCTGGTACCCACTCAAGGCTGGGTAGACCTGAGAGCTAGTTCATTTTTTAAAAAAGTCAGGCTTTGTCAGGATCCAAACCCACAACATTCTCATCTGCTGGTGAGCTTATGGACCATTTAGGAACTTCTCACAAACTTGCCCACACGGTGAGAATCCCTTCCTCTCCCATTCATGTTGCGACCGGTCGCATGGCCTATCCTATGTTGTAGGGGGTGTTATGAGAAGGCTTCATTCGGCATTCGCCTACTGTATATAATGTTTTTGGGAGGTTATATAGTCATGTCTCTTTGACGTGCCACAGGCGCCTGTGTACAAGTAAGAATTACTGCAGGAGGAAGCGCCGAAGGCACGACTGTCATGAGTATCAAAATTGGTTTGTATTTCTACCTTCAATGGCGGTACGTTGGTTGTTAGTTCAAGCTTCTTACTACACAATTTATGTTTTGTTTGCTAATAAATTGTTATTGGTGTTTCTTCAGGTTGCAGGAGCAGCTGAAGCACATCAGCTAAATGAAGATTTGGATCCCTGTGTTAGAAACTGGAAGTACATGACTGCTAAAGTCAGGACACCTCTCAGCAGGCATGTCACGGATCAGGTTGTCCGGCATCCCTTCTTTAGTACAGATACAGAGCTTTCGTTCAAGATGAGAGCAAGACCAGATAAGAAGCAACTGACAGAAACAGCTGATAATAGACAAGTGCAGTTGGAGTCAGCAACTGCTCAGAGGCAAAACTGTGTAGAGAAGAGTGATATAGAACCTCCAGTAAACACAAAAGCAACACCAGAGAATAAGTGTCAGCTGACAGAGACCTCAAAAAGTAAACAGGTGAGGATGGATTCAGATACTTTAAGCCAAAACATCTGGATGGAGAAGAGGGATTTGGTCAGCAATAGTGGCAACGTTTGTGGGTCTGTATGGAAGCACACTGTTGACCTCATCTCGGAAGCCTCACCAGATATGCTGGAATTGTTACATGTGCTTCAGTGGGAGTCTCTTAGCAGTGATGTTCATGTGTACCTATTATATAAGCATGATGAGGAAGATGTGAAACAGTGTATAGGACACACAGCAGAGAGCTGGTTTGTATGGAGACAGACTGCTAGGGAGAAACAAGTGATGAGGTTTTCTATAAAGCCAGTAATGAAGACTTGTGACCAGAAGGAAGAAGTGTTTTTCTATGTGTAGTGGGTCAGCATCATCCCTACATCAAAACTAGATGCCATGACCATCAGCAGGTAAGAAGTGCCATACATAACTTCTAACCCCCCCCCCCCCCCCCCCCCCCCCCCACCCACTTTTCCCCCTGATGCCTTGGATGATACATCTGTTTAGACAAAGGCTATTGAAGTCAAACTGGCAAAAGGCAAGGGGAAACCACCACTGTATTTGTCCCTATCACACAGTCTAGAACTATATGAGTCTGAGAAATGGCCAAAACAAAATACTATGCATGAAGCAAGCATGTCATTCATACAGGCAGCACTAGTTCTGTGATCTGGCAAAATTGTAACGAGGCTGCCCAGTCAACAGACGACAAGTAACCCGCCAGTTTGTTTATCTGGTGAAAGTTGAATAGTTGTATGTGCAACATGGAGCCAGGGGTGAATATTAATTCTGTTTCATACTTGAAAAAGAGCTTTTGAGGTAGTTGAATTGATCAGTGTTTATGCAATTTTTTTTTTTAAACTGTGTTTTTTTTTTCTTTTCATTTGTCCAAGTGCCATAAATTTGTTATACCTGTTTACAGCAGAGTTGCAGTGATTGTGCCTTTTGGCCGACACATCTGACTTCATTGAGCATTTGTTGACCGGGTTAACTTCCCGGATAGTTTTGTGGGACAGGGACATGTTGTGGTCCTTGTTTGTGAGGAGTTTTCTTTGTCCCCTTGTCTACAGGTGTTGCCCCTGGAAACCCCGTTCAGGGCTTCCATGTGTAAACAGGTCGGCCCTCAAGGAAAGGCAGGGGCAGATCATGAGCATTCATCACCATCCAAGGAGACTTACATAAAGGCAGTGCATACACATGATGCTCTGGTCCTGGACTTACCCAAGGAATTATCACATCCTTGAATGTTGAATGCTGAATTAAGAATCGACATCACAGCACTTGGGATACTCCCATAAGTGCTCACTCCCCCTCTTCAGTAGCAAGCAAAGAGTTCCACTTCACATCCTGCATGTGACTGCCTAATCTCACATCCGTGTGTTAAGCTTTCCAAACGTGACAGGCGGCACTTTCCGAAGATCAGCAGAGAGCAGCCTGCAGGTCCGGGACTTCGATGGCCACACAAAAAGGCACATTTTTATTCGGCATGGTAGACACCTTTAATGTTGTTCCATCTGGAAACTTAGCAAGACAGTACATCATAATCATGTATCTGGCATGGCTTCCCATTTTAGGTCCCGCACTCTGGCAAGTGGGGCCAGTGGTAACGGACATTTGAACCTTTCTTCCAGTTAGTAGGCATTTTTTGTGGGTCGGATATTCAGGACTTTGTTTCTGAGCCATAGGACATGTATCAGACGGATATTCATGCCAAACCAGCACACTGTCAGTGGCAGATTGTCGTGGTGTCTACCACATTGAGGAACAGCAAGGGATGTACTGAAACAATGCTGTTCTGTGAGTTACCTCCCGCAAGAGATGTTGCTCGTTTAGGCCACGAGCAAGTCTCGTTACAGGAATCAATCTCAGCAGTACAGTAGCTCTTCCCGTTCGACATATATTTTAACTGAGGTTTGACATTTAGTAGTGTGTTTGACCAGCAGTGGTTACCCATGTTCCAAATGGGCTTTGATAGATGTTTTGCATTGGGGGTTGGGCTGATGTGAGCCAGACTGGACACTACATCTCTAGAGGCCATCAACACCGAGATCCCTTGCCAGCTCAGTTCAGGTCACAAAGATGAGCCCTTATTCGTGGCACATGATGTGGACTTGTGGCAGGAGTCTTGTGTAAGGATAAGTAAAACCAATCAAGAGCTGGCTGGCTGGTGCCCAAGGTGAGGTTACTTTATCAGATGCCTATGATCAGTATGTTATCACTGCTCCTCAAAGTTGGGTTTAGTATCAGGTGTGCTGGATCCATGAGAGATAACAATACAGAAGTGGCCCAAAAAAATGTGTAGTCTTCTTCCTCTTTAGCATTCCGAGCCCATGAGGTTCATTGCTGCAGATATCACCCGCCTCCACTCATCTCTCTGGTTGGCCTTCTCTTTCCAGTTGGTGACACCAAGTGTTTGCAGGTCTGTCTGGACGTTATCTCTCCATCGTCTTCTTGGTCTGCCTCCTGGTCTACAACCATTTGACATTCTTTCAATATGCCCAAGCCATTTCAGTCTAATAGATCTCATGATGCCAATGATCAATAGTGATTTAAACAGATGATAAATTTTGTTGTTGCTTCTCATTCTCCATTCCCCGCTGTTTGCATCTTTGATGGGTCCAAAGATTAATCCTAATACTCATTTATACATAGTGGATTGTGAAATGCATAAATATTTTCATAGATCTGATGGCAGTTTGTGACATAGCACCTGGTTATATATAATGCCTTGCTGTGAAAATACGTATTGATTTTTTTTTTAAAATAACACATTTTGTGCAAAATTAACACAACTCATCAAAAAGATGAATATTTCTTTATTGTCGGCTGAACATTTGACTACACAGTACAACAGCTCATGTTACATAAAGCACACAGCCACAAGAAAATGTGCAAGGAACAAAAATAAAAAGAGAAATGTATTTATACTACCATTGTTTATATTATCTCCAGCATACAAAAGAAAACTGTCATAACAGTTTTTTATGTGGCCAGTGCCACATGGAAATACACAAGTTGTGACTTAAAAAAGAAAAAAAAAACTACTATAATGGGTTGTTGCAATGAGTGTGCTAAACCTAATGACATGAAAACCAGACAGTACATAATGGTTGCACACAGAAAAGATTACCAATGCCATTATTTGCCCAGACTATTTAAAAAAAAAAAAAAAGGGATCATATTTATGTGAATAAGTGATGAAAAGAAGAATTAGAACACACAAGGGCCATTCAGAAAGTAATTCCTCGCAAACTCTTTTTTCAGAATATACCCACATAATCTCCACCCACCTTATGAACTTGCCCCCCCCCCCCCCCCCCCCCACCCCCCCACCCCCCCCCCCCCCCCCCCCCCCCCCCCCCCCCCCCCCCCCCTGTGAAACAAGGGCATGCATGTCTTGTCTGAATCATAGAATCATACAACTTTTTTTTTTCTACAACATGAAAACCTTCCTGTTCATTTTCTGATGCCTTAACTCTCTGAACCTAGTGAACAATGATGCTCCTATTGACTGCACAGCATAGAAACATTTATGAATGTTTACCAGTTTCTTTTTCTGCTTGCTAGAAATAAAATTCCCCCTTCCTAACACCAGATTGTTTTTGCCAGCCGTTTAAATGGTTTAGTGCATCTGTTTTCTCCATGGAATACAGTGCCATTTTGTACATATAAAAGCAATTCAAATTTGAAGTAAAAAATTTATTGTTTCTACCTACAGTATTCTGGGGGGGAATTTGGTACACTACTTTCTGAATGTCCCTGGAAGAAAGGTAAAGGACCATTAACTGAAAGAGTTAATGGTTAAATGCCCTGGTTTCAAGTTTATCAGATGTTATGAGTTAACTCCAACTAGCCATATACAAAATATATTTAAAATAAAAATCCATAACAAGCATTTAAAATGTCTCAAGAGTTCCCAGGCGCAAAATTCTCTTACAGCCTATTTCTCCCACAATGGTACAGTTAACTGTTGTGTGAATAAAAATGTAGAATTGAAAACTTCTATAAAACAGTAAATGGCAGCATATTATTTATATATCAGCTCAATAAACCATGTCATTAATAAGTGTGTGCACTTTTTGTTTCAGTATGTCAGTTCCCTGTGTGGGTTCCAGGGCCCTATTATAAGGAAAACAAGAATAGACCCATAGCCTGCCGTAAGAGTCGACTAATTGGGAGCTTCCTTCGAAGTCAGAGTGCATCTGCCTGAGAGGTAAGGAACCAACAGTCTGCACACAAATGTGTGAGACCTGTCAAAGGGATACACAGGCAACACTCAGTTTCTGGAACAGGACTGCAGTCCAGAAGTGGATGAACAACCAGAACTTTCCACCAGAGTTTGCAGCTGGTGAACGCAAAGAAGAAAAAGAATGAGTGTCAGTAATGTGTGTGTACAACATTTAGTACATCAGTATGTGTATATAATTTCTGTATGCCAGTATTTGTACACACATTCAGTTCATTTATTTAAATTCACAAAAGAAAACAGTCTTGAGTAATGTGTGTATATTCAGCTAAACTTTGTTAATGTGTGTACACATTCAGTTTCAATATGCATATATGTGTACATATTCAGTTTCAGTATGCCAGTATTATGTGTGTACACAAAGTTCCCTTTTTGTTTCAGTGTGTGAATTATGCGTGCATACATTGTTCACTATGTAAAATGTGTTTGTATACATTTTCAGTGTGTCAATAATATGCGTACATATTCACATTTCAGTATGTCAGTAATCAGTGTGTACACATTCAGTTTAATCACAGATTATATTGATGCATTGGAATGAATCATTTATACAATCGTGGATAAAAGAAGAAGCAAGAAAGTGCACACATTTTCAGCAATCACTGAAATCAAACCTCAAATACCCTAGGATACTTCTGAAACTGGCTGCTGGGTCAGTAGCAGACGCTGATGTAACGTAAAGGTTCTCCTTTCCACACTTTCAGGGGCGCTGGGCATATAGGGCTAGACCTATATTTTTTAGAGACCAATCAGCACTTGATGGGTGATGTGGTCAGCATCATGCTGAAGAATACAGCAGATGAGAAAACAAAAGGGACACGTCCCAGAAAGCTCATTCAACATTATAACAGAGTTACAGCCATGACGAAATAATTCCCCAGCCCAATACCAGTCACAGGAACACTAATTCAATATTATCAAATTATTATAAATTATTTTCAAATTTATTATAATGACTGTTGTCTGGAGATTGAAGCTGATACTGACATACATAAAACATGTACTATTAATGATGACCTGAATCATAGAAAGCATTGTATACTGCAGTAAGTACCAACATTATATACACATAGCACAGAACTTTTCAAAGTGATGATCACAAGTCCAGATGGCAGAGAAGGGAAGGTAAGGTCATGTACAAAGAGATAAGAGCTGCAGACAGATATATTTATACCTTTTAAATTTTTAAATAGTTATTACAAATAATCTAAGTATCATCATTTGACCACCCAAAAAAGGCAGAACTACAATGGTTTTGAACTTAACTGTTACAGACAAATCTGAAAATGTTGGCTAAGATGAAAAAGACCGACAATTTATGAGATTTGATCATTAAAGAAAACTGGTTCATAAACAGCATCATATCTCTGAAACTGAAATAACTGGACCATGGTAGACTTCACAGCGATTTACACAGAACAGTAAAGGAGGCCATGGTTCTTAGAAGTAGAGAGGCAAGGGTTGACCAACACAGGCTATTTATTAACTCTTTCAATCCCAAGCAATTCGTGGTGTGTGGGTGACTCTATCCCTTGATTGTCCTCTATGGGATATTGTGTTGTCTAACTTACAACATTTAGTCAGAATATACTAAAAGAAATCCGGCTTCCCCACTGGTAAATATTCCCAACTTTGAAAATAATGCATGAACAATTTTACACCAGGGTCTTTTGTTGGTTTTGGCATCTCCTGTGAAACCCTTCTGGTAGTGAAACAGTTTAAAATATCCTGGACTGGGAACTATGGAGCAGAAGGCTTCACAACTCATTCATTTCCAAATACAAAACACCATATCTTTCTCAAGTCAGCTGCTGTCTGCTGATAATCTGAATTCCTCAAGAATAAAATAGCAACAACATCACAGGGCATGGAGCCCACTCACCCTTACAACTTTAAAGATTACTGAAGTCTGAAACGCTCAGCCATGTGGATGTGGAAAGCAAGGGGAGACCACCCCATGATAAATCCTTAGAAAATAAACTGACTCTGAAAAAAGACCAGAAGAAGATATACACCGTCATCCTGTGTGATCAGAGCATTGAGGAGAATTGGCTCACAAACAGCACCCTGCCCTGAAAGCTGCAGTCTTTTGGCCATGATACATGTCACAGTGGCCTGGAGAGAGTGCTGATAAGGGGTACAATTTCCAGGAAGCGAGGCAGAGGTAGACCTCTGTGAATATGGATAAAAGACATTCAAGATGCAATGCCTATGTAAGCCTTGAGAACTGGCTGGAGAAAGAAAGACTTTCAAGAGCCCTGCGGAGAGAGAAACGTTCTGTAAAGGACCTGCTGAGTGATGATCATGTAGTGAACTGATGTATGACAAGCTGGATGTTGCGAGGGCCCTTTGGGAGCGAGTGAGCAGTGCGGCCAAGGAACAGATAAATCATTACGGTCGAGGAGGAGTTACAAGAAGATCTGGCCGATGCGTGACAGGGGAAAGGCAAGACGGAAATACAATCAGACAGTTACTGCTAGCATCAGAATTTTAACTCTTCGCTTGCTGTTGAAGATGGGGACGGCGCACTTATGGGGGTGTCTCGAGTACTGTGATGTGGATTCTTAATTCAACATTCAACACTGATGATCATAAACCAATTCTGTTACATTAACTAAGAGTTTTTCAAAAATCGAGAATACTAGTGAGGGAAGTGATCCTGCAGAGCAGCCGCTACATAAGGATGATGATTATTAATCTCAAGTTACTGATTTTAGCTTTGAGTCCCAGGGGGTTCAGCATCAATGGACCCAAGGGGTACAGCAGTGAAACATATAACTGGCGCATCTTGTCACATGTGGCTGCAAGGATTTTTTTTTACTGTATCAGGGGTCGCAGGTCAACCCAGCCTAAAGTGGGTACGAGGATGGCTGTCCTGAGAAAGTAAAGACAGCCGGCGTAATGCTGATCACATTACCCACCTAGTGCCGACTAGTCATGTAAAAATATGGGTGCTCTTCCCATATGCCCGATGCACCTAAAGGTGTGAAACGGGATCTGTACTTTTAAAAAAAAAAAATTTTTTTTTTAACTATCTTGTCATATTAACGACCATGGTGGATTGAGAAAAAAACAAGCGGAAAGCATGGTACCAGGAAGGAGGGGCAGGGGCCAACCAACACGAAGATGGGCACAGGATATAAGTGACTCCTTGAATATTAAAGTACAGGAGGCGGGAGAGCTGGCGAGAGACAGTTTCTTTTAGGCAGACCGTGACTGGAGCAACATTCTGCAAAGGACCTGCTACATGATGATGATGTGTTCAATGAGCTTCAAGGTAGGAACGTATGGTGCCTTCCTTGGGACTGAAAGAGTTAAAGGATAAAGATATGAAAAAATGTTCAGAACTGGTTGCGAGTGGCAAATAGCCTGTACACTTTGAGAAGCCCTGATCTACAATACAACAGCACTGCAGTGTTAAATCATCGAAGGAGATTTGCTGACATATATATTTATACATTTTATTATATATGAAACATATAATCCGCGCATCTTGTGTTCAATGAGCTTCAATGTAGAAAAGTACTATGCCTTCCTTGGGATTGAAAGAGTTAAAGGATAAAGATATGAAAAAATCGTCAGAACTGGTTGCGAGTGGCAAATAGCCTGTACATTTTGAGAAGCCCTGATCTACAATTCAACAGCACGGCAGTGTTTTAATCATCGAAGGAGATGAGCTGGACTTCCCTATGCGCAGGTGGCTGTTGTGCCGGGGGCTGCTGCGCTGCCGCTGGAAGCTGCACCCCTTGCTGGTACTGACCAATGAACTGCTGCGGAGGCTGCTGTTGCTGGTACTGTTGCTGTTGGTACTGGGGTTGTTGTTGTTGCTGTTGTGGAGGCTGGCTGTTGTATATTGCCTGGTTCTGGTGAACAGGCAATGAGTTAGCCAAACCTGCAAGTGAACAACAATGTGTGACAAAATCATTCATTAACTTTTGCCTGCACAAAACACGAGGAACTAAATGGTACGACAATATCTCTAATGTGGAGTTTTGGAGGTAACTAAAAAAAATAAATCTAGTTTATCAAGAGGTGAAGAAAAGCCGTTGGTGCTGGACAGAACACATGTTGATAAAAACCTGAGAACAATAAATACAACCAGAAGGTCCTTGCACTTGAAACCAGAGAGAGAGAGAGACAGAAATAAAGGCAGTAAAATGGCTTAGCGTGTATTGGTTGAGGGCTTTTACTCCACTGGTGGATAAAGGGGCAGAAGAAGAAGATGACGATATGTGACAATGTAGAAGAAGATTATATGTGACAATGTAGAAAAAGACAAAAATATGTGACAATGTAGAAAAAGACAAAAATATGTGACAATGTAGAAAAAGACAAAAATATGTGACAATGTAGAAGAAGACAAAAATATGTGACAATGTAGAAGAAGACAAAAATATGTGACAATGTAGAAGAAGACAAAAATATGTGACAATGTAGAAGAAGACAAAAATATGTGACAATGTAGAAAAAACAAAAATATGTGACAATGTAGAAGAAGACAAAAATATGTGACAATGTAGAAGAAGACAAAAATATGTGACAATGTAGAAGAAGACAAAAATATGTGACAATGTAGAAAAAACAAAAATATGTGACAATGTAGAAGAAGACAAAAATATGTGACAATGTAGAAAAAGACAAAAATATGTGACAATGTAGAAAAAGACAAAAATATGTGACAATGTAGAAGAAGAAGACAACGACATGGGACAATGTCACAAACCACACGCAAAAGATACCAGCGATTTAAAAAAAATGTTTAAAAGAGTGTTAAAGTGTTATACAGGAACTGTACTGTCATATGCCAATGAAACGAGCAATAAACAGACACGCTGAAAAACATATTTGTAGGGAAACTTTTTTTTTGTGTGTAAATGATAGAAAAACCAAAGGAGACAGACTCATGGAGACAGGTCACAGTTGGAAACTGGTTAGAAAAAATAAAGACAGACAGTTCGTATTTTCTGGACATATTGTGAGAAGGAATGGACTTGGGAACTTTACAACCAGCAGGACTGATGGAAAGAGAGCAAAGGGATCAATACTCAGACAATTGAGCCATATAGTGGGGGCGAGACAAGAACACTTGCCTGATCTGTGATCCTAATGATTGTATGAGATTGTGTGACAAATAGCCTATGCTGACTGGTATGGCACATGATGATGATGATGATGATACATCACATCAAGGCATCAACAGACTTATGCAAGTCTTATTCTGTATGCTGAAAGATTCAAACCTCAGCAAAAGCAATAGCACGCACAACTTATCAAGCCTGACATTATCTACTCAAAGACTTGAACGTCAGCACACACACACAAATACAGAACGGCAAGCTTTACCTTGCATGCTGAAAGACTGATAGTCCTGGGACTGTGGTGGGGCACCTACATAACCGGCCTGATTGTCCACACCTCCGCCTGGGGGCAGAGAGTAGGGGATACTGGACCCAGCCATCTGCCCATGCATTCCGCTGTAACCTCCTGGAACATGCAGATATGTGAAACAAATTAATCAAAATAAAGATAGCATAAATGTAATTAAATGTCTCCTTCCAGTTCAAGGGCTGTAACTCCTGGAACATGCAGATATGTGAAACAAATTAATCAAAATAAAGATAGCATAAATCTTTCTTCTTCTTCTTCGTGTTCACCAACTGTAAACTCTGGCAGAAAGTTCTGGTTATTTATCCACTTCTGGACTGCAGTCCTGCTCCAGAACCTGAGTGTTGGGTGTGCATCCGTTTTACAGATCTGTCTCATTTGTATGCAGACTGCTGGTTCCTTGCCTCTCAGGCAGATGCACTCCGACTTCGAAAGAACCTCCCAAATAGTCGATCGACTCTTATTAACATGCTTCTGGGTAGGCAGAGGGTCTGTTCTTGTTTTCCTTATAATAGGGCCCCAGAACCCACACGGAGTGATAGCATAAATGTAAGTTAATGTCTCCTTTGTGTCCGCCCAGTGTAAACTCTGAGTGAAAGTTCCAGCTGTTCTCCTAACTATGGTCTTTTTTCTTGTTCTAGAACTTTTGTTTACATACACCAGTCTGTACTCAATATTACAAAATGCAGTTCCCTGTGTTGAGGGTTAGACGATGGATCAACATCATGGCATGAGGGTAGTAACCCATAAGTGCTCCGTTCTACTTTTAACTCAAGCCTGAGTCCGAAAAATCTCAGCATAGTGCACGAATTCCGTAGCACCGGGGAGGATTCTGAATTACTTTAGGTAGATTTTTAACTCCAAATTTTTGCCTGGGCAGCGCCATCAGGATACTCTTCTCGATTTACAACCGTGCGCAACAATACACACAGGCGCCTGATCTTACTACCCAGAGACCCGGGAAAATTACTAGAAATTCACGTGGGAAAAAAACTTCCCTCACTGGGGCTTGAACCTGGGACCTCCAGCACTCAAGGCAGATGAGATGCCTCGAGACCACACAGCCCCTGTGGATCCCTGTGTGGGATCTGGGAGTGATAGTTTTCAAGCGGAACAATAAAGAAAGTTTTGTATAACTTCAACTGTCACTAAGGGGCTGCGTGGTCTCGGGGCGTGGTGTCCACCTTGAGTGCTAGAGTTTCCGGGTTTAAATCCCCGGTAAGGGCTGGGAGTTTTTCAGAGTAACCTAACGGCACTGCCCGGACACAAATTTGTGGTTTAAAAATCTACCCAAAGTATTTCAGGATCCTCACCGATGCTTCAGAGACTGTGCACCGTGCTGAGCTTCTTAGGACTCAGACTTGAGTTCGAAGAAGAATGGAGCACTTACGGGTTACCATCGGTGGGCCATGATGTTGATCCGTTGTTCTAACCTCAAAACTGTCACGGGAATGGGGGGAAATATGACCAAACTCTGGTGTCGTTGGAACCTCGACTAACTAGCTAACTAACTAGTCCCTTAAGATATGCATGTTAAACTAGTCCTGCTATGCTTTGCTTCACTGATTAACACGCAGATAACTTGAATGAGTGAAGTTGAACTTCCCTAGGACCACACACTGAGCAGCTAACATGCAGTGACACAAAGTGTCACTATTTGGATGAGAACCCCCGAGGTAAAAATATCAGAAACACGGTTCAAAGTTATATTTAAGATTATATTGGGGCCCCCGACGGTTAACAAGTAACCTCAAGTCCAGACATGGCAGAGTGGGTTTAATGCATAGACAACCTGAACTCACACTTACCAATATTTGGTGGGGCTGACACTGAATGTTGTGGTGCTAAATTGGTCGGTCCTTGATCATTCTGAAATTTTAAATCAAAAACAAAATTAGAAGACAAATTTTCACTGCAAACTACTGGAAATAATTTATCAATTTCAAGTGTACATGGTACCTGGCCATGAAAGAGCTGATAGACTGGGTGGCTCTGCCTAGCTGCACACAGCCAGCCTATGTACGGGTCACACCAACACTGTTAATGCCTTTAGAATGAGAGGTGGGTCAGAGGATTGTGGGTAACGCGTCGTGTCTACACTGCTGCTAAGATTGCCAACACTGGGAGTTGAATATTGAATTAAGAATCAACATCACAGCACTCAGGACACCCCCCATCTTTAGCAGCAAGTGAAGAGTTAACATTCCGAAGGTACCAGTAAGTGTCTGATTGTATATTCGTCTAGCCTTTTCCCTAAGTGTTGAGCGTTGGCTAGATCCCCTTGTAACTCCTCACAGTGCCATTCTCCTCAGACCGTAATGATCTATCTGTTTCTCGGCACTGTTCACTGGCTCCCAAAGGGCCCTCACAACATCCAGCTTGTCATACATCAATCAGTTCACCTCCAAGGGATGCAGAACCGGCCAGACCAACATTGGGAGTAAAGATTGGTACAGCCAGGTGCCACCCCCCCCCCCCCCCCCCCCTAGCCAAATGTGGAAACATAACCCACATCCACACAGGAAAAGAAACAGGTGAAAACAGTCAACTTTTTAATTAGAGACATTGAAACAGTCAGTCAGAATTGTTGGATATATGAAGTGAAATACAGACTGTGGTAGACCAGATGCAGCAGGCTATATAGAGAAGACAGAGAAAACCAGCCTTGGTATAACAGAGTATCAACATTAGGGGCAGCGGGCCTACCCCCCCCCCCCCCCCAACTAAATGGGGCCTCAGAACCCACACAGGGATGTATCATTCTAAAAATGACATAGGGGCAACTTTTAAAAAAAAACTTCTGACAATAACATGATCATATGAGCTAGCAGTAAAGCTTGTTTATGCTGCCTTTGAGTATAAGATAAGAGGCATTATAACCAGCTTTTCATGAGAACAATCAGTAGAGGTACCTTGAAGTGGCTGTTGCATCGGCGGACAGAGCATACATGGGAATGCCCAATGTGCAGTGCTGTCAACTGTGACAACATGTAACTATAAAAAATTTAAAAAAAACTCAAAATGCCATACTTGTAAACTGTACACCTGCTGTCCAATCATGGCTTGGCCGTCTGCTTGGTACCCACCAGGCGGCATGCTAGCGACAGGTCCCATGGATGCATACTGCCCTCCCATTGGCTGCTGACCCATATTATACATTCCAGTTTGGCCCTGGCCAATGTAAGTGGGTAGTGACATGCCAGGTTGCACCATGCCCTACAATGTTCATGACAGAATATCATCATTACTCATAATCTATTATACTTCATCACAATTAATACGAGAAATGTTAATCAATTGTATTTTCTTTAAAATATAGTTTTTATTGATAGAGAAGATGGTGCGGTGCATTATTAATATCCTACCCCAAATAGGTGAAATCTGCAGGTCACGGGACAGTCTAATATTCCAGGGGGTTGTAGATATGCTGCATGCAGTCGTGGGACCTAGGCTACACTCTCTAGTGGGATATGGTGGGTTGGGGGTCGTGGGACCTAGGCCACACTCTCTAGTGGGATATGGTGGGTTGGGGGTCGTGGGACCTAGGCTACACTCTCTAGTGGGAAATGGTGGGTTGGGGGGTCGTGGGACCTAGGCTACACTCTCTAGTGGGATATGGTGGGTGGGGGTCGTGGGACCTAGGCTACACTCTCTAGTGGGATATGGTGGGTTGGGGGTCGTGGGACCTAGGCTACACTCTCTAGTGGGATATGGTGGGTTGGGGGTCGTGGGACCTAGGCTACACTCTCTAGTGGGATATGGTGGGTTGGGGGTCGTGGGACCTAGGCTACACTCTCTAGTGGGATATGGTGGGTTGGGGGTCGTGGGGACCTAGGCTACACACTCTAGTTTGTGGGTTGGGGGTCGAGGGACCTAGGCTACACTCTCTAGTGGGATATGGTGGGTTGGGGGTCGTGGGACCTAGGCTACACTCTCTAGTGGGATTTGGTGGGTTGGGGTTAGGACCAGTTCTAGATGTTTTGGAGTTGTTAAAAGTATCAGAAAGCCAGGAAACCCAGTCTTAACACCCTCTAAAATGTTGGACTGTCCTGTGATATCATCTGGGGTAGGATATCACAAAAGAACCGATGGCACTAAACTGGACACATTCTGAGCAGAAACCAGCAGAGAATCACCAAACAGGTGTTAAAATGGGATTAAGGAAGGGAGGATGCCCAAAAGAAACCCTAAGATGAACACTGAAGAGAGAGGCCAAAGCTGCCGGACTGGATTCCATACATGGTAATGAACTGATTGCTCAGGACAGAATGAAATGGAGGAATAGACTGTGAGCCTTATGTGACATATAATGGCACAACAGGATAATGAACATACATACACATACAGTGGAACCTAGGTTCTCAAATGCCTCCTTCTAGAACAATTCAGTTTGTGAAAAGAATTTTATGGGAAACAAGCATCTGAGTGTGGTGGTAAAGAACCTTTGCTCCTGAACAGCCTAACCTGACACCTTGAATTTCATGGGATGAGACAATGACAACAATTTTTGCTCAGTGCAGATTCCTGCTCGAGTGTGCAATGTTTATTGTTTTCTTTCAAAATGTCAGGCTTGGTGGATGAGCCAACAGAGGAATTCAATTTTATCTCGCCTTATAACATACCTGTCATAATACAACTTCAAGAAACTCTATAACACACCACACAATAAATTAAGTGTCATCTTCAAAATTAAGGTTGGCTACAATGAATCTTTCAGTCTCTGTTTTTCATTCCGGTCTAACACTCCATGAAGAGTGACCGCCGGTATCCTGGATCAACCCTGTTCAATGAAGTTTGACAACTTCCAAAACAAGCCATATTGTAGAAATGATAGGAGCATTCAGTGTGTTGAGATAAGAAACCATATCACAGATATCAGCACCTTCCCATAAATGCTCCGTCCTCATCTTCAGCAGCCATCGATGAGCTAAAACTCGGATGGTGCCAGTAGCGGTTTGATTTCATGGCTGTCTTCTTTCCTTTGAGTGAAGAGCGTCGACCGCATTCCCTGGTCACTGTACGATCCTCTCCAGACCAAAATGATCTATCCGTGCCTCTGCATTGATCACTTGCTCCCACATCTAGATTGTCATCCATGAATTCACCACCCCATGGTGCATAACCAGTCAACCTGTCTGCCTGTTCATTTCCCAACAATCCTACATGCAAAGTAGACAGGCTATGAGGTGACCCATCAATCTCTACACATTTTCGTCACAAAGACAACAGGCTTCCAACAAACATAACTACCACAGACCTGCTGCATATTGCCATAACCATCAGCCACGTTGGTCATTCTATGAACAGGTGACCCTTCGGTTGACCCTCCGGCAGGATTATAGCCTTGTGGCACCATCCCTATGTTGGGAGGCATTCCTCCTGGACCCATCATTGGCTGAGGGTAGCCCTGGAAAAAAGACAATGTAAATAACTGATGAAACAATCCAATGGTCTCATTCTGAATCCAACAATTCTAGTAGGCCTCTGCAGAGATGCAGACCAATTACGGTATGCTGAACCCCATGCTGACTTTCTAGATCAGAGGTTTCTGACCGAGGCAGGGGAGGGTTGCCTTTGAAACTGAGTGCATATGCACTTTGTAATAATCTGCTGACCTTATTTTTTTTTTGTTAGTTTCATTATAAATAAAATATTTTTGAAAGCTTTTTATAAACAAAAACAAAAACAAGGATGTTTTTGTTTTCATGAGCAGTTTTGTACACTTACCATTTAAAATCTAATTAATAAGATTCCACATTTTTAACAGTTAATTCATTTCCCATAAATTATGGCTGTGCTATTTTTGAAAAACTGTTGAACTCGCCAGTGTGCTTCTATTTCAGTGATAATATGTAACATTGTGCCTAGGAAAAGATTGTAGAAAGATGACTATATTAAATTCTGAATGTTGAATTAAGAATCAAAATCACAGCACTCTGGACACTCCCATAAGCACTCTGTCCCATCTTCAGCAACAAACAATGTTGATGGCACCAGTAACTGTCTGACTGTAAGTCTGTCTCGCCTTTCCCTTGAGTGTTGAGCATCTGCCACATCACCTTGTATCTCCTTGCAGCGCCAATCTCTTCAGACCGTAAAGATCTGTTTGTGCCTCCTCAATGTTCACTAGCTCCCAACGGGCCCTCACAACATCCAGCTTGTCATACATCAATTCACCACCAAGGTGGTGCAGAACCGACCAGTCTATTAGCCTGCTCTTTTCCCAAAACACCGACATGACCTGGAGATAATATCCAAAGGACGCTGACTACCCAGGACCTCTGAAGCGATGCTTGCCACTCTGCACGGAGCATGCCTGTCTCCACCTTTCTCGACATGCTCTGTGAGTGATTTACAATTATGACATGTGTGTTCAGCTGATTCTAAAGCCAGCGGAAGGCAGCAGTGACTGCCTCCACCTACATTCCAAATTAGATTGTCATATGCAGGGCTTTGTTGCAATAAGAGACTTTCATTAGCAGTTTTCTCTGTGAACTCCTCATCTCACACCCCATGCACTTTGTCTCTCACCACAGAACCATCTGTAAAAATGATCACATCACCTGGGCGGGAATAGTCATGAATCATTTGTTGAACTTGTGATTCTGCAACACCAGCTGACCAGTCCCTGCACTCACCACCTCAAGTGATTAGAACCCTACACAAGTCTGATTCTTGCTTGGACACTTTAACCCACTCCTCTCCTCACCCAAATTTATCAAGCCTGCACACACGTCTAATTGTGTCTTTAGCTTGCACCATCCAAGACCTTCCTCTTTTCAGTCTGTGACCCTTAACTCTACCTGGGGCTTCATGCAGGAGGTGCTATTCTGAGATATGAGTTTGCTTGCAGAACTTTGACCCTATATGCAATAGTAGGCAGTGCAAGTATATATCACATCACATACATACTACCGGAGTATCTCCTGTACATCCCAGAATTACCTGCATGGCTTAATTCTGTTTATGTCCAAGTTTCATAAGCTGACTCTTTGATATGGTAAGCATTAATTTATCACCGACTCAGCCAATAGGCATGAAGGTCCACCTTAAGCTTAAGGTTTTTATCGAGGTTACCTCTTCTAGATCCATTGTGTTTGTACCTCTTCGGTCACACACAACGGTCTTGACTGAAGAATTGTTTTCTTGATTAGAGAAAGGTCATTAGAAACAGATCCACAGATGCTCAGATTCCTCATGATCTTTTAGCACCTCTTCGGACACACACACAACGGACTTGATGAGAATTGGTGCTCCGATCATCCTCACTCAGGAAGATCCACAAGTGATCAAAACGCTCCACAAGTGCAAAACGGCTGATGACGCCTGTTCTGCGTTGGTTAATGAAACGTTTTGTCCCCTTAGTGAAATGTTCATTTCTTGCAGCTCCAGGCTGCACCCCCATATCCATCAGTCTAGACAGGGATAAGGAGTCATGTCATTTGGTGTGCTTTTTGGTACAGTAAGTGCAGCACATGGCATTGATAACATCACTTCTGTCCAGTACTGGACCAGCCAAAGCAACCGCAGTGTCAGCAAGATAGTCTGTACACTCATTCCCTTGAACACCCGCATGAGCTAGCACAAGGGACAAGACCTAAGTAAGCCCCTTTCATCCTATAGGTACAAGAACTCATAGGGCTAGACGAAGCTCTCCAGGAGTAAACAGCTGGTATGCTCCATTGCGCGAGAGATAAGAATCTATGGCGCTAAATCTCTCCGACTCTTGTGTATTCTGGTGCAAAAGAATAATGTCTGGCCATATTTGCATATATAAAGTTCATCTATGCTGCTAAGACCTAGGACATATACGGGTCACAAAAACAGCGAACAATAAATTAATTACACAGCATCTAACAAACACACCACTTCCCTGTGGCTTCCAGTGAAAGGATATTTTCTATGGCTATATGACTACATTACGTTTGACTTTACTGTGTCATACAGTAACAGCAAGTAAACAACCTCAGTATATTTTCTGCCACTGTGTTCTCAGTAATGATGCAATGAGACTTACACACTTGGAAAGGCATTTTAGTAAAGTACATGCAGAGTTAATTAATAAATTTGCAGAAAAGGACTCAAAGGTAACTATAAAGATATCAAAACAAAAGCTTCAGATGTTACCTGAGGGTATCCAAAAGCTTGCATCTGTCTCATGTGTGTTAGCTGCTTCTGCTGTTCAAATCTAGCGGCCATTTCTCTCTCCTGTTCCTGCAGTCTCTGCAGTGCTAACTGGCGCTGCATCTCAAGATATTCCTGAACAACAGTGGTGATAAATTAAATAAGGTCTTTGAATAATTGTAAATGATCACTCGCACATTTTCTACATTTCTTATATTATACAAACAACAGATCTGCTGCTTGCAGAAAATGTTGCAACTGTTTACACACAGCCCCAAATGTGTCATACATCATAGTGCCTAAATGCATTTATTATTTTTTTTAAACAAAAACCCCTAAATGTGTTATATATGTGTGTGTGTGTGTGTGTGTGTATTTACATATATATCATCCTATCTGGCCCTTCCAAACAATGTGCAGGCACAAACAGAATCAATGCCATTAACAAGGACTTGCCAATGCAGTTATGGTAAAAACCGACTTTTCAGGGAATTGTCACAGATGTAAGGTTAGTTGCGTATCCTTTACAGGACGTTGCAGAACCAACCCCAGAAGCCCCTGGCTGTTGTGTGGTTTCTCTAGGCAAATTTATGTCCAGTAGTTTGCCATTGCTTTCTCGACGGTCGGCCCCCTGATACCACTGTCGAAACCAATGCAAGGTGCATGGCCTGCAGCTGGGATCGAACCCGGCACCCCGGCATTACGAAGCGTTCGCATCGACTTAGCCACAGAGCTTGTAACAGATGGCAAAGTCAAAATAATGGCTTCTTGAGGCAAAAGGGTCAACATTTGAAAGAATGAACAAGCAAAACTTTCTCTGTACTTTATATTCTTACATGTTTCTTTTGCCTCATCACTTCCAGTTTCTGCATCATCTGAATCTGCCTCTGGCGCTCCATTTCCTCTGCCTCTCTTCTACGTTTTTCCCGATGCTCCTCTCTTAGGGAATCCAAAGCTTCTCTGGCATCCCTCAGCTGAGTCAGTTTGTCCTGTAGTCCCTCGTAATAAGCTGAAACAATGTGTAAATTAAAGGCAATGTTTTCTCATTGTGAATTTTAAACAATAATGGCACACACAATACACTGCACAATGTATGGGCAGACATTTGTCACTGTATTTCTTCAAAGTTAAAACACGCAAAGGAAACAGTGAGGTTGAATGTTGAATTAAGAATCAACATCACAGCACTTGGGACACCCCCATAAGTGCTCAGCCCCCAACTTCAGCAGCAAGCTTTTTGAAACCAAATGCATGCGTGCACGCACTTACTCATGCACACACACACACATCGTCACTTAACAGACTCACTAAGGGTGTTCAGAAAGGTAAAGAGAGGCATGCGCATACAGAGTGGCATCAGATTTCCTGGGTAGTCAGCATCTTTTGGATATTTTCTCCAGGGTATGCAGGTGTGTTGGGAAATGAACAGGCAGACATACTAGTTGGCTCTGCACCACAGGAAGGGGGTGGGGGGGGGGGTCTAAACTGAAGCATGAAAAGCTAGATGTGGTCAAGGCTCTCTGGGAGCAAGTGAATAATGCAAAGGCAGTAACAGATCGTTACAGCATGAGAGAATGGCACAGCAAGACTGTACAAGGGGTTGGTTGACACACTATACCCAGAGGAAAGTCGAGACAGACAAACATTCAGACTGTTACTGGCACCATCGGAACTGGAACTCTCCACTGGCTGCTTTTTTTTTTCAGTCTCATTTCCAGGCTCTTCATAAAAAACCTCTATATTTGTTTATATATATATTGTATATATATATATATATCCATGAAATATGATCTATTTTTATGTATAAATTCACATCCCCAGGGCCTCAATTCGAGTGTATAACTGCTAACTTCCTGTCCAGTTTTTTTTAAATTTATTTATTACTGTAGACACATATCCATTTTTCCAGATGGTTGTGATAGACTGTGCTGTAGAGGTACAGGGTAATCCCAGCCCATGGCGTTGACAAGTCTGACCGACGGGAATATTTATGAAAATCCACACAGTAGGGCTGTGTGCACATAACATCTGTTCATTCTCATCTGGAATGTGTCTAGATATAAAAAATGTTCTCACGATGGTGGAAATATTTTTAGTTATCCTTATTCATCCCTCTCCCCCCTCCCCCATGTGGGTTTCAGGGCCCCACTGTGAGGTGAGAGTAAAAAAATATATATCCACTGCCCCCTAACAAGCAAGTCATAAAAAGCCAGGGGTGTTTCTTTGAAGTCATAGTGCATCTTCCTAAGAGGCGAGCACCCAACAGTCTGCATATAGATAAGCCAGACCTGTAAAACAGACGTGAGTGCAAAACTCAAGTTCTAGAATAAGACGAATGTCCAGAAACAGACCAACAGCTAAAAGACGGAGTTTACCGCCAGTGAACACTAAGATAAAGAATAATAATTCTCTTTTTCATTTTTATTTTACTTCTGCCATTATCTGTTACAAAACCTGGCAGCTACAGCTTGAATACTGACAATTACTATTCTGAATGTTGAAAGAAATGAAGAAACTTACATCTGGCATCTTCCTTTTCCTGAATATGAGTCATCAGCTGTGGGTGCATGTCACTAATGACAGCAAACAAAGACTGCACGGCCGAGTCGTTGGCAATAGGCCGACCTCTTTGGGAGTTGCTCCGCATGCGGTTTACAAAGATCTCCAGTGACCCCTGCAGGGCAGACAGGAACTGCTCCTGGCCATCATCTGTGTCTCCATTCTGGTACAAGTGAGACGAAATCACTTGAGGCGCCTACGGTTGTTTAAAAACCCACGATAGAAATCAAGGAAACAAACCAAAAATTTTTAATAACAGCAAAATTTTAAAAAATTTACAAAATCATAAACTAAAAACAAGCAAATGAGCAGGAAAAAAAACTGAATAAAATGTCTGAAAGTTAACTTTAAGTAAAAAAAAAATAATAATAAAAAAAAAAACACACACAGCAATCAGATTCAATTCCCAGTAAAAGCCAACTTTTGTACAAGCAAGTACAATTGCGGAATACCAGGTAAAGTCCTAGAAAGCAAAGGTAGTCGGCAGAATATTTTCACATAGCCCACAGAGTGCTGATTGCTCTATAAAATATACGTCTATATGCACAATATGCCTAAGGTTGTGGCAAAGGGTTTCTTTTCCTTTTTTACCCTTTACAATTGTGGAAAATGATCAAGCACTGTGCAACTGGTTAATGATATGATCTGTCATACCACTACCATAATTTGATATACGTTGAGGCCAGACACTTCCCACTTCATCAGCAGTGTCTATCATCACATTTTTTTGTATCTATTCCTAATGGTATAACACTGCTGAGGAGCAGTTGGCTGAATGGTTAGAACACTGGGCTCACTAGCGAGAGACCCAGGTTCGAATCTTCAGTAAGGCTGGGGATTTGTTCTGTCAGGGAAAAATAAAATCCTCACCTACGCAGTCGTGGCAACAGCACTAGCCATGCGGCCGTTATTCCTCAGGCTCAAAGACCCTCTTGCCTACACTGCATAAGTGGTAATAAAGGCAGTTATTGGCAGTATAACACTGCCTGGTGAGGCATGCTTGCTCTGAACACACCAAGTCAGTCATGGCTCACACAAGAAATCAGTCACAGGCCCGATCCACTTGCACACTAACCAAGTAGTCCAGGGAGTATTCACACTTCACCTACAAATACCAGAGGTAACGCTGAAGATAGGTTCGCCCCTACAGTCAGCCCTCACACCAGACAGTTACCAGGCTCTCATAAACTAATGAAACTGGATGGGTTCGCCCTTACAGTCAGCCCGCACACCAGACAGTTACAAGGCTCTCGTAAACAAATGACACTGGATGGGTTCGCCCCTACAGTCAGCCCTCACACCAGACAGTTACAAGGCTCTCATAAACTAATGAAACTGGATGGGTTCGCCCTTACATATTTATTGCAGTAATCCTCTTTTCGTTTGTAGTCTTTCCAGAACCTCTGTATTTGATTGTTTTTGTTTCCATAAATTACGTCAAGAGAGCTGATTACTTCCTCAATGGCAGTGGCTCATTGGCAGCTTCCTGTGGTGAACGATGACACACAATAACAATGTTCTTACTAACTCACCTCAATGACCTGGCCAGCAGTAACCCTGGAGTCAGCACTTGCTGTGGAGAACGATGACACACAATAACAATGTTCTTACTAACTCACCTCATTGACCTGGCCAGCAGTAACCCTGGAGTCAGCACTTGCTGTGGAGAACGATGACACACAATAACAATGTTCTTACTAACTCACCTCATTGACCTGGCCAGCAGTAACCCTGGAGTCAGCACTTGCTGTGGAGAACGATGACACACAATAACAATGTTCTTACTAACTCACCTCATTGACCTGGCCAGCAGTAACCCTGGAGTCAGCACTTGCTGTGGAGAACGATGACACACAATAACAATGTTCTTACTAACTCACCTCATTGACCTGGCCAGCAGTAGCCCTGGAGTCAGCACTTCCTGTGGAGAACGATGACACACAATAACAATGTTCTTACTAACTCACCTCATTGACCTGGCCAGCAGTAGCCCTGGAGTCAGCACTTCCTGTGGAGAACGATGACACACAATAAACACATGTTCTTACTAACTCACCTCATTGACTGGGCCAGCAGTAGCCCTGGAGTCAGCACTTCCTGTGGAGAACGATGACACACAATAACAATGTTCTTACTAACTCACCTCATTGACCTGGCCAGCAGTAGCCCTGGAGTCAGCACTTCCTGTGGAGAACGATGACACACAATAACAATGTTCTTACTAACTCACCTCATTGACCTGGCCAGCAGTAACCCTGGAGTCAGCACTTGCTGTGGAGAACGATGACACACAATAACAATGTTCTTACTAACTCACCTCATTGACCTGGCCAGCAGTAACCCTGGAGTCAGCACTTCCTGTGGAGACGATGACACACAATAACAATGTTCTTACTAACTCACCTCATTGACCTGGCCAGCAGTAACCCTGGAGTCAGCACTTGCTGTGGGAGCTGATGGTAAAGTTGATGAGGCTGCTGGCAGTTGACTGTGCTGCTCCTCAGACTTCTGCTGCCAGTAATGCCTGTTCAAGTATCGAGCAAGCTCAGGATCCATGTCAGAAGTGTCCAGAGGCTGTAGAACAAACAAAAACAAAACAAGGGTACTTTAATTTTCAACGACTCCTATCTCATCAGCTTCAAGATTTCATAGGGAATTCCTAGGGATTTCCCTGTTCCCTGGAGAGTATCATATTATAGGGGGGTGTTAGGATTAGGACTAGTACTACATGAATAATGACTAACCCTAAACCCCTTCAACCCCCCAACTATAAGACGCTTTTTGGATTTCCCTACCAAATCTTGAAGCTGACATGATGGAGTCAAACAAGTAAAAACCCTTCTTCCTGGCAGTGATGCATCACACTTGGTACTCAAAAGATGCAGTTAAAAACCATTTGGCATTTGACTCCCACACCCGAGATGCAAAACAGCATTGTACTTTAGTAGGGCGCCATCCCACTGTGGTATATCAGGAAACAAAACCATGGACAAACTTGCTAAGAAAGGGGCTGAATGTGAACAGGAAGAGAATTCAATAACATACTCTGAGAAGAAAAGGGCCATCCAGTCTCAGAAGTGAACAGAGGCTGGCCAGAGATGAGTACCACTTATTTGACCAGCATGGACAGGTCATCATTCTACACCTCAGGACAGGACATGACAAACTTAACAAGCATATGTGCAGGCTCTGTCTATAATAGTTCACCATTGTGCCTGTATAGGCTGTGTAGGCAAACTGCAGAATATGTCCTCCAAGAATGTGCCTTATACAGCCAAATAGGAAGGGAATACTGGCCCAGTATGGAAAGTTGTATGGAACTAAAAGGGAACTCTTAAAAACAGTCAAGTTTATCACAAGAACTCTTGTGTGGGTGTAAATCAGAAAGCGATCACAAGAAGAAGAAAACACTGCAACCTTTCACTGGTTTGAGACCCAGCTGCACACACACGTTTTGAGTTAACTGACTCACAGAGCATGCTGAGAAAGGTGGAGATAGGTATGCTCCGTGCAGGGTGGCAAGCATTGGTTTAGAGGTCCTGGATAAGTAGCATCCTTTGGATATTTTCTCCAGGTCATGACAGTGTGTTGAGAAATGAAGAGGCACACAGACTGGCTGGTTCTGTGCCCCTTGGTGGTAAACTGATGCATGAGAAGCTAGATGTTGCTAGGGTCCTTTGGAAGCAAGTAAATAGTACAGCTAGAAGAGAAGAGAAAATCATGCAGCAAGAAATGACAAGGGGGATCTGGCTGACTCTCAAAACTCGGAAAGAGAGGAGGGGAAGATACTGGTAAAACTGGAAACTCTGGGCTAGCTGCTGAATATGGGGACAGTGTGCTTATGGGAATGTCCCGAGTACTATATCAGTTCTTAATTCATAACCTGGCATTTGACAGGAGATGTGGTCAACATCAGGCCAATCATGTTCACTTTCCCGTTCACTTCCCAGTAGGCACTATAGGGTGGGTTAAGTTTAGAGCCAAGGCACTATAGGGTGGGTCAAGTTTAGAGCCAAGGCACTATAGGGTGGGTCAAGTTTAGAGCCAAGGCACTATAGGGTGGGTCAAGTTTAGAGCCAAGGCACTATAGGCTGGGTCAAGTTTAGAGCCAAGGCACTATAGGCTGGGTCAAGTTTAGAGCCAAGGCACTATAGGCTGGGTCAAGTTTAGAGCCAAGGCACTATAGGCTGGGTCAAGTTTAGAGCCAAGGCACTATAGGCTGGGTCAAGTTTACAGCCAAGACACTATAGGCTGGGTCAAGTTTAGAGCCAAGGCACTATAGGCTGGGTCAAGTTTAGAGCCAAGGCACTATAGGCTGGGTCAAGTTTAGAGCCAAGGCACTATAGGGTGGGTCAAGTTTAGAGCCAAGGCACTATAGGCTGGGTCAAGTTTAGAGCCAAGGCACTATAGGGTGGGTCAAGTTTAGAGCCAAGGCACTATAGGCTGGGTCAAGTTTAGAGCCAAGGCACTATAGGCTGGGTCAAGTTTAGAGCCAAGGCACTATAGGGTGGGTCAAGTTTAGAGCCAAGGCACTATAGGGTGGGTCGAGTTTAGAGCCAAAGCACTATAGGGTGGGTCGAGTTTAGAGCCAAGGCACTGTAGGGTGGGTCGAGTTTAGAGCCAACGTCGATTATAAAATAATCTGCCATCATGCAGTCAGGCCAGCAAGCTCCCCTTCAACTGTTAAACACAACAAAATATAAGTTTCCTTACAGCAGCAACGACTGTTGGCTTCACCGGAGATCCTGGCCTGTCATTGAATGTCTTGTTGTAAGCGCCATAGCTCGACCTCAACCGTTCTCTCTGTTTAGTTAAAACAAGATACATTAAAATTAGACAAAAGGCAAGGTATCTCTTACATTTCATAGTGAATTTTACAAATCTCAAGTAGAATTTAACATTTAAAAGAAAGAGTAATTACAAACGAGTACGAGGCAAAATCTTAAAAAGTGAGAAAGAAATTACAATAACAGAGGCATTGTCTTGTAACCTGTCATTATTATTGTCAATGATGTCAAGAATGTTAAGCACATAACAACATGTTGCAGATGAACATGGTGACATCATAATGCCAATTTAAAAATGGCCACTGCACTGTTGATATGCACCAAAAAGGAGTAGCGTTCTTATCTATTTTTTTTTAAACCAGCGAAGGGGTGAAAACCTATAGAAATTTCATCTGCCAATGAAAGAAAGTCCAGTGTTCACAGGGATCCAAACCTAACACTTATGTATGATGTCATCTGTTAGCTTTTCAGATTTACTTCTCATGGCATAATAAAGTAGTGAAGTACTGAGACCAGTTCCCTTTGTCTTATATCTTTATCAGAAAGTAAACATTTTACAAAGATAAACATTTATTTTTTTAAACGTCTGTAAATGTTTGTTATAGACTTGACCCAGCAGAATAGTCTGAGGTATTTATAACTGTTGTTGTGTTTGAAACAAGATTGACATCAGACAGGGTACCACAGAGAGCAATGTTATATAGATACAGAGGTAACAGATCCAGAGGTCCACCCCGCAGAATATGGACTGCAGAAAGACACTGAAAAGTACTTTATATGAAGCAAACAGAATAGCTCATTCCAGAGATCTCTTCCTGCCCTGACGACATGAAGTATTTCATCAACAGAGAAAAGAAAAGAGGAAAAGAGCTGTGTTTTTTATTTGACCTCAGCCTGGGTAATACACATTTCTGTAACCTATGGTGCTTTTTCATTAGTTTGAGACAAATTCTGTCTGCATTCTACAGTCGTGGGTTCAAGCCATACAACAGACAGCTAATGATGACATGTCTTTTAGGGGTGCCCTGGTGGTCATGCATCTTAGCACACTGACTGACTTGCCCACGGTATTCTCATCATCATCGAAAAATCCACATCTCTGCCGCTTCCACATAGTTTTTCACTAATCGTCCAACTGTCTATGATTCTCTTTTAAGAACTATATATCTAAGTTAAGAGAGGCATAAAGACCCTTTTAGACCACTGACTTGTGCTCATCGTCATCATGCAGCAGGTCCTTTACAGAACGTCACTCTCATCAACTTGGTCTCTCGCCAGATCTCCCACCCTGTGTACTTTCATATTTAAGGAGTCACTTATATCCCAGTGCCCATCTTCATGTTGGTCTGCCCCTGCCCCTCCTTCATGGTACCATGCCTTCTGCTATTGTTTTTCCAATCTGCCATCACGATTCATATGACCAAAATATCTCAGCATCCGGGACAAGACGCTGTTTATTAGCCAATCTTCCTTATTTTCAGATTCTTTAAAATGTCAGTATTTCTTCTCTTCTTTGTCCATGGTATTCTGAGAATCCTTCTATAGCATTTCAGCTCAAAAGCCCCTGTTTTCTTCCTTAAGGACTGGGAGATAGTCTATGACACATCCATATGTTGTTACAGGGAAGATGCAAGCTCTCAAAATGTTAACTTTGATTTCCTTGCTGGCATTTAACTACAGACTTGTTATGCATTTAATCTTTGACTTGTGCTAGACTTGTATTTTTCAGGCCAACCATCACTTAACACACGACCCTCACGAGAGCTGGTTCAATCTAAACCCAACTGTATGCAATGAAACAAACTGTACAGCACAACACAGCCACACCACTCACCTCTTTCTCTTTGGTCTCATGTTCTGACTTGGACAAAGCCAAAGCCAGCATGAGCTCTTCTTCCTCCTGCTGCTCCTGATCTGTTTTAGTCGGAGGAATCTAAACCAAATATCAAAACAATTAGACCAAATGTAAAACAAATCAGACCACATATGAAACAAATTAGACATAAGCGTAAAAATAAAACATTTTTAACTTTGAAGTTCTGTGTTAACCCTTTTAGGACCAGAAGTGAATGAAGTTAATATAAAGTTTAAGATTTCTTTTCATGCAAATATTGCATTGAGCTGATGGTGCTGCACATATACTTAAAATGACTTTATTTTAATATTTAACATAACACAACATTTAAAAAAAATTCTAAGCATTTTTCTGCCACTGGTTTTCTGATAAGAAAACCAAATCTCTACGAAGGGTGTGGTGCCATATAGATCCACCCAGCTTAGTTTTGACTGGAATGCCAGCTGGTCAGACCTGGAGTCTCTCTACTGCAGGGCTATTCAACTAATGGCCCGCAGGCCCGATCTGGCCCACTGAGGCCCAGTAAGTGACCCATGGGCCAAATCTGGCCGGCCAAGGCCCAGCAAGTGACCTGTGGGCCAAATCTGGCTGGCCGAGGCCCAGCAAGTGACCTGTAGGCCAAATCTGGCCGGCTGAGGCCCAGCAAATGACCCAAGGATCATTGCCAGATATATGTATTAATCTTTCAATGCAGGAGCTCGGGTCTCTGTCCCGTGCCGATTCCAATTTTCAAAATTGACTAAACTTGCTGGAACATCCCTGCCCTACTCCATGCAGAGAGCATATCTGCAACACAAATCCAGTAGTTTCTGGTGCCTGTTCACACTGGCAAAGTTCTGCGTTCACAATCTAGAATTTCCTGTACAAATACCTGGGAGGTATGTTGTCTCTTCTTTGCAATTCTAATTCAATGGTGTGCTTCTTTCCTGTGAGGAGACTGTGTTCTCGGGATTATGTTCTGGATGTGAAGTGTTCCATCGGGTTTTAATGGCTGCCCCGATTTGGGTTTTATTTTCCTTATAAGTGCTTCCTCGTATAAATTGTCACTGGACAACTATGCCCCCCCCCCCCCCTTTCCCCAGTCGAGAAAGGCTTAAATAAAATAAATACCTTATACAGTAAAAGCAGTTCTGCAGCAGATACTGTTCGAGTGTATGGTGCTATGGTTTTTTTATGTCCAACTGCCAAGGCATTTTTTTTTTGCGCAACAATACACACAGGCGTCCAATCTTACTACCCAGAGACCAGGGGGAATTACTAGAAGCCCACATGAAAAAATCCCAGTCTTCACCAGGGCCTGAACCCGGGACTTCCAGTACTCGAGGCGGATGCCATGCCTCGAGACCACTCAGCCCCCAAAATCTGACTTACATGGATGCAGACTGTTTGTTCATCAACTCTCAGGCAAATGCACTCTAACATTGAAAGACACACCCCTGATTAGTTAACTTTTACGACATGCTTGTTGAGGGGGGGGGAGCTGCAACTCACACAGGAAAGCCCTTGATCTAAGCTAAGATCACAAACCTTAGGCTACACAGGAATAATTGTTTTTAAAATTCCTTTTTTTACAATTTTAAAAACAAAACGTGACATGTTAACAATCAAAATCAAGGCCCACCTGGGGTTGCTTTGATAAAGGACTGGCCAGATATTCCGCTGGCAGGTCATCATCCTTCTTGGCACCACTACCTGGCCTGAAAAATGTATCCAGAAAATGTCAGAAATGTGGATTCATGAAACATCCCAGTAAACCTTTAAATAACAAAAAACAATCATATTTCTTCATGCACAAAGTGCTGTTTATAATTGGTTTGAACACACTATCTGTGACACTTTCAGTCCAAATCAGTTGTTACCGTGACTCCCTCTGTCCCATGGAGCAGAGCTTAAAAACCATAAAAATTTTGGTTTTAGGGCAGAAGTAGTTCAACTAATGATTCAAATACAAACAATTAATTCAGCGACTGATAGAAGACAGCAACAATGTTATATTTTTCAGGGACTAACAAGACATGTTTGATGTACTCTTAACATCACACAGACAGACAGACAGACAGACAGACAGACAGACAGACAGACAGACAGACAGACAGACAGACAGACAGACAGACACAGACAGACAGACAGACAGAGAGCGAGATGAGAGCGAGAAAGAACATCCCTAATATATAGAACAGCTGGCACTCACAAAATGGTCAAAGTTATGATATTACTAATATGTATAAGATAGAATTCACCGATATAGTCTGGTTGGCACCTTTGTGTCTTTTTCTAGATAACAGTGTTCCATAGGGACACTGTGCATTTGGAGGTGGCAGGTTCGATTTTCAGCATGGTGACTACAGTTTTTGATTTTTATGTTGTCTAGTGTGTCCTTCTATCTTTCTATGAGTGCCGATCAATACATTACTTATTTGTTAATTATGCAAAGGGAGGTGTGAGAATCGCAGGCCACTGCCCTGAAGACCAAGATTGAAGCTTCTCTGCTGCCACAAGTAGGAGGTTAAGTTGGGTACACACCGCCCAACATTCAGCACTAACAGAGAACAGGTAGAACCCACTGCTGTTACATGGTAGCTCAGTCATATCTGACCAAGACCTGATTCTGGTTTCACTAACATGTGAGAGATGTAACATCACTAATATGTGAGAGACATCACTTCACTAACATGTGAGAGATGTAACATCACTAATATGTGAGAGACATCACTTCACTAATATGTTGAGAGATGTAACATCACTAATATGTGAGAGACATCACTTCACTAATATGTTGAGAGATGTAACATCACTAATATGTGAGAGACATCACTTCACTAATATGTTGAGAGATGTAACATCACTAATATGTGAGAGACATCACTTCACTAATATGTGAGAGATGTAACATCACTAATATGTGAGAGACATCACTTCACTAATATGTTGAGAGATGTAACATCACTAATATGTGAGAGACATCACTTCACTAACATGTGAGAGATGTAACATCACTAATATGTGAGAGACATCACTTCACTAACATGTGAGAGATGTAACATCACTAATATGTGAGAGACATCACTTCACTAATATGTTGAGAGATGTAACATCACTAATATGTGAGAGACATCACTTCACTAATATGTTGAGAGATGTAACATCACTAATATGTGAGAGACATCACTTCACTAATATGTTGAGAGATGTAACATCACTAATATGTGAGAGACATCACTTCACTAATATGTGAGAGATGTAACATCACTAATATGTGAGAGACATCACTTCACTAACATGTGAGAGATGTAACATCACTAATATGTGAGAGACATCACTTCACTAACATGTGAGAGATGTAACATCACTAATATGTGAGAGACATCACTTCACTAATATGTGAGCGATGGGACAACATTAATATGTGAGAGATGGGACATCACTAATATATGAGAGATATCATTTCACTAATATGTTGAGAGATATCACTTCACTAATATGTTGAGAGAGATGACTTCACTAATATGTTCAGAAATATGACTTCACTAATATGATGAGAGATATCACTTCACTAATATGTGAGATATCACTTTACTAATATGTGAGATATCACTTCACTAATATGTTGAGAGATATCACTTCACTAATATGTTGAGAGATATGACTTCACTAATATGTTCAGAAATATGACTTCACTAATATGATAAGAGATATCACTTCACTAATATGTGAGATATCACTTCACTAATATGATGAGAGATATCACTTCACTAATATGTGAGATATCACTTCACTAATATGATAAGGGATATCACTACACTAATATGATAAGAGATATCACTTCACTAATATGATGAGAGATATCACTTCACTAATATGATGAGAGATATCACTTCGCTAATAAAGGAGGCTTCACTAACTCTTTCAGCACCAGAAGAGATTTTGTTTTAAATACTTAAGGAGACAACAGACACAATGAAAAGAGCATGAGTGTGTTACTTTCAACAGGCAACATATAATATGTTGTATGCTAGCATAATAAGCCAGACTTCTTTAGCATGCTGAAGCCAAAGGTAAAATATTTAATTACACATCGCTCGTCGTTTGATACACACTGATTACAGCTGATAAGTCACCGTACGTTGGTTGGAGAAAAAAGAGCTAACATATAAGGACAACAACATGACAATAACACAGTGGTTTTGGTTCACTGCCCAGCAGTGCTTTACATCTGTTCCTGGAATAGAACCATTCTGTAGTAAATACAGCCTTGTAAAGTGGGCACTGTGAGAATGGGTTTCCCAAACTTTTCTTAGCCGCTGCGACTTTTTTTTCAATTAAAATTTTTCCGCTGCCCCCTAACCTGAGTAAAAGTTTGACTATTCATATGTAAGAGATAAACAAACAAAAAATAAAACTTGTGTATCTTCGAATATTTCGTGGCTCTCCGGGGACAGGTGGCCCTGAAGGGAACCGGCCACTTAACCTCACTACGCCAGAATATACCACATGTGATATGCGATCCCCCACTGGAGTAGCAGGCCACAGGATTGTCTACTGGAAAAGCCAATCAGGTAATCGCAGTTCCAACTCATCAGCAAATGCCCCCCCCCCCCACACACACACACACAGATGCTCCAATGCTATGCCAACAAGAACTACACAGAACGTCCATCACTGTCCGTTGTGAAAACAACTGACACAGACGGCAGTCTCAGCCAAGTCAATAGTATACACATGCATTACATGCATAAGGCAGTCTCCACAAGTGCCAGCAAAAACAGTCTGGCAACAGAAATGCAGCTGATCGTCAATGAAAGCAGCAGTTGCAAAGGATCAGTAGTTACACATGCAATCAATCTCATAAGGCACAACCAACTCTCTGACCTCAGCCCACTCGTGTTTTAAAATATGTCCATATGGTTCTTATTAGTCCTGCAGGCCCTTAGACGGGGTGAAATAAAATAAAAGAACAATTTTCTCTGTCTTGATCTTGTAGATCTTGTCTTGATACATGACACATGGCATTCTAAGAATTTTTCAGTAACATTAAGTTCTATTGCCTCAATTTACTCAATATACATACATTTACTATGTGTCATGTCTAAGTGAACGAAAGTTAAAGTGAACAGCAATCATAATAGTTAAACCACAGTGTATAATAACAATATCATAAGATAAAGACGGCATATCAGTTGAAGAATAATTAACCTAATAAAAGAACAGATTAAAATGATGACTCCCACAAAGCATGTGGACAGGATGTTAGGAATGGCTTTCATTGAAAGACGGCTAGTCAGATGGTTTGGTCATGTAACAAGATTACCCTAAAATAGCACACCACCATCAGCCTTGACACTGACACAGCAGTAGCACAACTTCATGGAGAAGGAACTCAGAGAGCGATGTGAAAAAATATGGGAAGGACATGGGGTGAGCTGCATGCAACAGCAAACGATAGGATAACTTTTTGTGTGTGAGTTAGTTGAGGGCCTATGCTCCTTGAGGGATCAAGGATAAAGAGAACAAGATACAGAAATCAAAGTAAACCTCACAAACAATGACTTAGTGGAACAGCAGAAACACCAAATTCCACCTTTTATGCAACCCTCACAACAGGTCTTGTCCAAAACGCTGTTTTGACCATTACATGGAAAGAAATAACAAGGACAGCATAAACGAAGAACAATTTTTAAATCCAGAAAAGTAGTTTGAAAAAAAAAAGGTGGTATTAAAAAAAAACCATCTAAGCATCTGTGTATTTTAAGAGACATACATATAAACAGCCTTCAATTCAGCTGCAATTTTTCATGTGTGTTGTGTTAAATTTTTTTTTTTACTTAAAAAAACCCACAGAAAACAGTATAAACTTCATATTTTTCATATTAGCAGAAATATCTGATAAACAAAATAAGAGCAATATGAAAAAAAACAAGAAAAATAATTCAATTTGTCGTTAACTTTGGTGCATAAGTTGTGCATTAATGAACTTGGAATTTATTTATCGATCAACATTTGTGTTAAAAACGGAAGCAAAGAATAACAACTTGAAACAAGGAGCCAAAAAGTTTCTTCTTTATCAAATGCTGGAATCTACACACACCTGCAGTGTACAGCAGGCACATAAAATCAGCCACAGAAAACTTTTTTAAAAAAAAAAAAAATTAACACCAACCCCTAAACATAAAACTGACATCAGTCAACACATCTTCTTCTTCATTATTCATCCAAGTGGTAAGTAAATGCATTGTGCCTGTTGACATCATAGCTGCTATATTTGCACCTTACAGCCAACACATCCAATTCCAATTTCTTAAACCATTTGTTGCTAGATTACAGCCTTCTTGGTTAGTTCTAGAATCACTGTAGCACACTTCACAGCATCATTAGTGAGGTGACTCTGTCATCCCCTGATCTATAGGTGGGACATTTAGAGGAAGCATCCATCAGGCATGGCTTTCCAGTCTGGTCATTACATTAAGATGAGTGTAGCCTACGGTAGCGGACATTTGGACCATTCAAATCATAAAGTAGGATTGTTGGGTGAAAGACATCTGAGTAGCCAATCCGTAGGACCCTTGGTCGAAAGTAATTTGAATGAAGGCTTGTCAAATAGTAGAACTCTGACAGACACTTGAACCAAGGTTTCTCATTTAGTAGGACACTCTGCCAACTGACTTCACTTATGTTCCAAATGAGTAACCTATGCTTTGGG